CACGACGCCCATGTAGAGCCGACGAACTTCTTCCCGTAGTCCCCCGATATTGGACCGCAGGCGGTGCAGCGCACCCGCTACCCCCCCTACCCGCGCTTGAAATGCTCTTCGAAGCTCAACCGACTCGACGTACCGAAAGCGTACGACCGAAGCTCAAGCGTACGTTCCTGGCGCTTACGTATGCATTGGAACCATATCGCCTCAGTTTTCTGTAACGGCACCCTCAGGCCCAACTCACGAATCTTTCCTACGGCCCCAATGACGGCCCGAAGGGAGAGCGGCACCTCGTGATAGTCAAGGGCACCCTTATCGCTTGCCAGGGGAGGGTGCCGAACGCGTTGACGATATCAAGGCTAACCGCCAATGCCACCCCGTCCCCAGGTATCCTCCCCATCACGTCCGGGCGCGGTATTGTGGGAAGCCAGCCTTCGCACAGCTCGGTCCAGCTCTCCCTCTCCCTCTCTCTCACTCCCTGGGCCTCTGCTAAAATCACTCTTCGGCTTTATAATATTAATATAGATTGAAAAAAAATGCTGTTGTAGTAGGAAAGAGTAACCAATATTGAAACGGCGCTTAAATTGGACCACTTCTTTATTTTAACCAAAATAGAACTATTTGGTATAGAATATTGGCACAAAAAGGAGCGCTACAAAATGGCGGAGTATTAGTGGCGCTGTTAGCGTTCCTTTTTGTGTTGCTAGTGTAAAAAAAAGTGCAATTTTGATAGAAATATAGGGGCTACTACGTAACATCGTAACTTTTTGACAGTTCATTGGCATTGACTAATTAGACTGTTTTAGAATTTGTTTCTTTTAAGAATTTAAATGTTAAACATCGCTTGTAACTTTGTTCGCTTGATTGATGGTATTATTATTTTTTCACTGTGCTTGCTGTGGTCTCTTGTAAGTGAAGGAGTACACCGACTTTAAACCCATTCTGTTAATTACTGTTTTTTTACTTGTGTGTATATCTTTCGTAGGAGATCCTAATAAATAAATAAATAAATAGACGAGTTTGTGTTTAATAATAATATTTCAGACATCTGACACACAACGCCATCTAGTTTCAAACCAAGCAGAGCTTGTACTATGAAAAATAGATTGACTGATAGAATACTTATATACTTTTTTCATAATACATACATATTATACATAGAAAACACCCAAACTTCGAAATAAATATTTGTAGATCATACAAACATTTAGTGCGACCCGGTAATCGAACCCGAGCCCTCAGCACATCAGTCGCATACGCTACCACTGCGCCACCGAGGCAGACAAAGTTTCTTCAAACCTCTTTTCTTTTTATAAATACAACTCAGTTTAAAGTAAGTAGTTTTATTTTAATCTTCTGGTTCAACGTCGGCGGGGAAGCAGACACAGTTTATTTCACATTGTCTCTGCATTTAGTGTTACTTTGACCCACGCGTTGACTAGACGAGGCGGTCATATCCCCCTGAATGCCGTTGTCCAAAGAATGGTCTTTGTCTTACAAATTCTCGTGACTAGGATTTCTAATTAAGTTTGGACACTGCTCCAGTGCATCCGTATAAACAAAGTATTTTCTATACTCCTAGTTTTTTAATGTTTAATTTCTGTGTCCCGTTTTTTATGGTATGGTATGGATGTATAAATAGATGTTTAATATTCAATCACGCCAAAACGAATCTGGATGAAATTTAGCACACAGATAGATTTTAATCGGGAATAGCATATATGTAGCTACTTTAATGTGAGCGGAGCTGCGGGCAAAGACTGCAAAAAGAAATTAATACGCAAACTGTTGCATTCGCGGAAGATAATTCGAAAGATTCCCGTACGACACTTTGTATAATAGACATTTAAAATAAAATAAATTAATTGTTTATGGTCTCTACTCCGCTCTTAAAGGTCGTAAGGTGATGATAAAAGACTTTGTTCGCGTGGAATTTGAAAAGTGCCTTAATGAGTTCGATTCCCGGACCAGGAAAAATTTATAGGGTTTTTTCTGAGAGAAAAAATAGCCTAAATATCTCCATATATAGCTACTTGGTAGTAAAATATTATCACTTGACGACCGAATGGCGTAGTGGTTTGTGTAACGGACTGCTATGCCAAAGGTCGCGGGTTCGATTCCCGCTCAAGTCAAAAATTTGTGTGCATGAGCATTTAATGTTTGATTTAGTATCGGTGTTTCTATGTATATATGTATTTACAAAAAAAAGTATTTATGTTTTTATCAGTTGTCTAGTACCCATAGTACAAGCTCTGCTTAGTTTGGGACTAGATGTGTGGATATGGTAGAATATTAATATTATTATCATCAAAATTGGTCCAGTCGTTTTAAAGATTACCCAGAACAAACAGACAGACAGACAGGCAAAAAATATTTAAACTGGTTTTTAGGCATAGGTATCGTACAAATAACCGTGTAAGCATGAAAAAATTTTGACATTACAAATAGACACTTAAATTTTTTTTTTTATTTTTTTTTAAAAAGACAACGCCCGCATTAGGAATAAATCCTGTGTCGCGGGGGACTTTACAAACATACATGAAACGGTCACAAAGAACACCCAGACTCAGAACAACAATTTGTGGATCACACAAAGTGTCGTCCCAGGTGGGGTTTGAACCCACAACACTCGGCGTAGAAGGAAGCGGCGTGGCGACCGCTTAAACCACTACGCCATCCATCCATTGTATAGATATCTAAACTCCAATTTTATCATGAAGTTTTTTAAAGATTATATAACTAAGATTCAACTAAGTTAATTATAAAAGGCAATATCAGTATATATATAGTTATATCAATAATACGATTCAATAATTGTATTAGCTCTCTATCATAAACTTAACTCAAACGTGATACGCTGATTTGTAATGTTCTTTTGTGTTAACATTACGTATCCGTGTGGTGACGGATTAGAAATACGGAGTGTCACCGCGGTGTTACCCGCGTTTGTTGTTATAACCGCGGGCAACGCCTCGGGGCGAAGCTAGTCTAAAAAAAGTAGCCTTAGTTACTCCTTATGTCGTCAGCTATCTGCCAGTGAAAGCCCCGTCGAAATCGGTCCAGCCGTTCCAGGGATTACCCGGAACAAAAAGACAGACAGACAAAAATTGTAAAAAATGTTATTTTGGCATATGTACCGTGTAAACATACATATGCATTTAGTAAAAAGCGGTTATTTTAATATTACAAACAGACACTCGAATTTTATTTATTTGTATAGATAGGGACTTTATGAATCAGACACAAAGAATACCCAGACCCAGAACAACAATTTGTGGATCACACAAAGTGTCGTCCCGTGTGGGGATTGGACCCATAACACTCAGCGTAGTAGTAACCGGCGAGGTGACAGCTTTAACCACTACGCCATCCATGCAGTCAAATATAAATTGTTGCATTGGCGTCGGTCAAAAATATTAAAAATAAAATTACGTCAGTGTTCAAGATTGCGTTACGATTGCTATAATGTTTTGAGCAAACAATCCTAATTATTACTAACAAAAAAATATTAAATGAAAGTTGGTATTTTACAAATCATTGAGAAATTGAAGGCGAACGTGAAATTCTGACGTAGTAATCGTCAAAAGTCGAGAGCACAGATAGGCCAAAATTGCATTCCACACATTTTCAGGGGTCGTCCATAAAATACGTCACACGAATAACATGATTTTTGAACCCTATCCCCGTGCTTGTCACAGCTGATCTTATTTGTGAGACCCCCCCTCTCTAGTAGGTATGGTGTCACATATTTTACAATTTTACATCATCATCATCATCATGACTGCTGATCGAAAGTCTTCCCCGAAGAGCGCCAACTATCCCGCTCTCGGGCATCCATCCGCTGTTAGCCACTTTCCTGAAGTCCTTGCTATTATACATCTAAATAAATAAATAAAAGCATTTATTCACTGACCATATTACACATTTTAACTTATATACTACTTAAAAAACAATATTTCCTCTGTCTTTCGACATAGGCCTCCCCCAGTTCCATCTCTATCTATCCTTATCCATCCTTTCGGCAAATCCTCCCATCTTTGGATTTGTCGTCCTCTTTGTCTTTTCCCATTTCTGGGGTACCATTCCATTACATCCTTCGTCCATTTTTTCCCATTATACATTTAGATATTAAATTAAAACCGTAGTTCCAAAAATAATTTTCATCATCATCTGCCTACCCTTTTCCCAATTTTATTTGGGGTCGGCGCAGTATGTATGATTTTTCCATTCTACTCTGTCATGCGTCATCTCACTGTTTACTCCCTTCCTAGCCATATCCTCCCTGACGCAGTCCATCCACCTCTTCTCTTGTACCCTTCAACTCTCATACCTAAAACTTTCTTCGCCACATTTTCCTCATCCCTCCGCATGACATGTCCATACCAAGATAACCTATTACTTCTTAACTTTTGATCCAGTGGCGCTACTTTCAGACTCGCTCGTATATACTCATTCCTAACCTTGTCCATCTGAGTCACACTACACATCCATCTCAGCATTCGCATTTCGGCTACGTTCAGGCGTCTCTCATCCGTTCTCTTAATGGGCCAACTTTCAGAGCCGTACAGGACGGCAGGTCTGATAATAGTTTTATAAATTTGCCCCTTCAGTGTTAAGGGGAAACTGGGGTCACAAGTTGTTCCCGTTACCTGCCGCCACTTCATCCATCCCGTATTGATTAGATGCTGTACAGTTTGATCAATCTCACCATCACATTGTAAGAGGGAGCCGAGGTACTTGAAATTGAAGCAGACTGTTATCGCTATCCCATCCAGCGAAATGGTTTCAGGACTGGAGAGACTGCCGAAATCGCAGAACATGTACTCAGTTTTGGTTCTGCTGATTTTCAAGCCAAAAATAATTTTATTAACTTTTTATTTTTTAATCAACATCAAATCAAAAATTTATATATATGTATAAATAAATACACCATTAATTTAATTGTGGCACTCGACATGTGTCAAACTCTTTCCGTTGATGTTCATGAGTCCCACCCATTGTTCCAGGTCTAGAATTCACTCACCCGAACGAGCGTGGTGAGTACGAAGTTGCCGAGGGTATATCGGCGACGGTGTTCAGAGCTATCTTGGAGTACTACAGGTTTGGCACCATAAGGTGTCCTCCCACCGTCTCCGTGCAGGAGTTGCGGGAGGCATGCGATTACCTCCTTGTGCCTTTTGATGCAAATACTGTCAGGTGTCAGGTCAGTGGGTATACTAACATAACAAATGTGAAAAAAACCTTGTCATAGGTACAGTAATTGTGCACGGTTGGCGTAGTTGTATAAGCGGCCGCCATACCGCTTCCTACTACGCCGAGTGTTGTGGGTTCAAACCCCACATGGGACGACACTTTGTGTAATCCACAAATTGTTGTTCTGAGTCTGGGTGTTCTTTGTGTCCGTTTTAGGTATGTTTGTACAGTCCCCCGCGATATAGGGTATATTCCTAATGCGAGAGATGTCTTTAAAAAAAAAAGCCAAAAAATTAAATACAAAGGCCTAGGAAACAGTACTGGGCTCAAGAAATTGCAAAATAAATTTAACATGAGCAAAAGCGGGCGTTAGTGTCACATTGTACTACGTCGGGATACCAGGGATTTCCTTTCTAGGGTACACCTGGTTCCCCGGCTACTGGTACCCGAGACGGCGTGCGGTTTTTGGTCGATTCGAGTCCGACATAATCACCCGGTGGGTGATATCCGAGGGGATTTCAGGAATTCACAGGAAAAAAAAGTGTTACATTGTTTGTATACATTGACGACATTGACATTGACGACCGGATGGCATAGTGGTTTGTGTAACGGACTGCTATTCCAAAGATCGCGGGTTCAATTCCCGCTCAAGTCAAACATTTGCATGAACATTTATTGTTTGATTTGGTCTGGTTGTTTCTATGTATAATAAGTATGTATTTACAAAAAAAGTATAAATGTATTTATATCAGTTGTCTAGTAGCCATAGTACAAGCTCTGCTTAGTTTGGGACTAGATGGGGTTGTGTGAATGTAGTAAAATATATTATATTATAAAAATATATTATACAAGGGGAATTTGTGTTGGTTTGTGCCATTTTCATTAAACTACTTAATTGATCACAGAAAACAATACCGAAGACGATAACTTGTTCCACAGATTGGTTGTGCGAGGCAAAAAGTGTCTTTAAAAACGCACAGTAGTGGAGCGCCAGTTTTCCAAGTGATGGGAAGTGAGATCACAGAAGAAGATTTTTCTAATATGTATAAGCTAAGTAGATAATATTATTTCCAGAACCTTCGGGGCCTTCTCCACGAATTATCAAACGAAGGCGCTCGCCGTCAGTTCGAGTCATTCCTCGAAAGGCTCATTCTCCCTCTCATGGTGGAGTCCGCCGAGAGGGGAGACAGGGAGTGTCATGTCGTCGTGTTGTTAGATGACGACTCCGTAGAGTGGGATGAGCAGTATCCACCGCAGATGGGAGATGAGTACAGTCAGACTGTGTTGTCCACACCGCTGTATAGATTCTTCAAGTATATTGAAAATAGGTAAGTATTTGTAGCCATTATCTGCAGTTTCAAGTGCATTTATAGTCGCTGCCAAGTTCCTAAGCGTCGTAGCGTAATGTTTTGTAGAAAAATAATCAATCAATACTGACTGATAGGTCCAGAGCGAGAGAGCGAGCGAGAGACAAACAAAAAAGCCTTCATCTTTACTCTTTATAATAGACATAGTAATGCATACCTATTATAAATATATTTGCACTGAACGGGAATCGAACCCGGCGCCGGTGGCGTAGTCACTTATTATCAAGTAATCGTCTGCTCGTTTGCCACCCATCCCCCCCATAATACCATTAAAAAAAACAGTTTATCCGCAAAAAAAGTACTCTGAGCAATTGTTTTCTTTTCCAGAGACGTAGCGAAACAAGTTATGAAAGAAAGAGGTCTAAAGAAGATCCGTTTAGGAGTTGAAGGGTACCCAACATACAAAGAGAAAGTCCGCAAACGGCCTGGGGGTCGCGCAGAGGTCATATACAACTATGTCCAAAGACCTTTCATCCACATGTCCTGGGAAAAGGAAGAAGCGAAGAGCCGCCATGTTGACTTCCAGTGTTTTAAGTCCAAATCTGTGACGAACCTGGCTGAGGCGACGGCGGACCCTGTAATCGAGTTAGACGCAAACAGAGTAAGAGATGAAGAGGTCCCCGAGGTCAATCCAGATCCTGAAGTGGAAGAGCCTCAGTGATACGTATACCGCTCGCATCGAGCGGTCAGTAAAATTTTAATGGCAATGTTCTGCTGGATGTGATCATTTTGGATTAAATTTCTGGGTCGACATTGATTAAATAAAATAGTTATAAAGAACTTAAACCCAGTCTTAAGATCAGAGTTAAATATTATTATTACAAGGTGTGGTTGAGACCATGTTAGCAGACCAAGTTTGTCCAGGAGAAATTAACCTAAAATAAACTGTACAGATACGACCTTCAAGTCTTCAAAAAAAAGCATACTCTCTCCTAATAGACCTCATAGACCAAAGACAAAGACATAAGGATATGTCTCATCCTCAAAGACCGATAATGTATTTGCAAGTGTCTTTGGGCTGCGGTAACCCTTCAGGTTATCCGTCTGCTAGTTTGCTCAAAACTCATGAACAAAAAAAACTCGTGTATGGGACTAGAGGTTAGTGCTATAAAAACCAAATGAATTGGTATCGGTATTAAATGGTGGATATGTACAATCATCCCTTTGAAGTCCTGTCATCAGAACTTCGGGGAATTACCTAATTCAACTGTCGACCCAAATAGTTTTTTGGTGGTGAATTGTAAGAGTTAAAGAGAGTGCCAGAAAGACTTTTTGTACTTATTGTTATACGCACAAACATTATAAAAGTCGTGTACACTTGTGTGTACAAAAATAGGACCACTGAAAATTGTGTTAAAATCTTTATTGTGTATACTATCCAATTTCTATTGATTTACTTGGATGGACTTAGTTCTATCTGCATTAGGCGTCACTACGTCATGGTTACCTTTGGCGAAAGTCTGGAAATAGCCCCCCCCCTCCCCTCCCTCAGGATAATGTTCTACTTCCCAGGGTTATTTACCCGCGCTTAAGTGTTGTATCGTGATGTTAAAAAGCCTTATAAACTTTTTGGATAATTATGCTGTCGCTCAAATCTGACGTTTAACTGTCTTGTGCTAAAAATTAGTATATTATGTAGTAGAATTTTCTTTAAGTGGTATTCATATTTATTAAAGATAAACGATTTTACTCATACGTGCACGTTGAGGATTCTCGACCAGTTATGGAGCAAACGGTGGCTCTTCGTCAAGGAGCTAAACGTTCTGACTTTATCTTTAATAAATTTTCCCACCAAATGGGCCTTATAAATGGGAATGGGCATTCCTTTTACTCCATCGATACATAATACCACCCTAGAGACAACAAGGTTTTTAACTAAGTTCAGACGTGGCCTATTTTTGTGCACTGCAGTGTACAACATAAACATCATGTCTAACCATACTATCGTCACATTTAGAAGATATGTTATTTTAATATACGATTTTAGCCGCTATTTTACTCATTATTGTCAAAAGATAGAGGTTTACATAACTTGAATGAACGTTACGTTCTCATGCCTACTTTGTAAGCTTTATGATAAAATAACTATATAAACACAGTAATTGAAAGTCCACGCCAACTGCCATCTAAGCTGACTATCAAAGGTTATAATCTGTGTGTCCAGATATAGTTTAACTGCCACTAGACTGCCCAACGAATAGTAATATCCAAATACTTGCCTTGACTACACAAGTATGTGTGTGAGACAGTAACCTCTTCTAGTAAATGAAAAAAAACATTATTTGAACTTGCAACATTAAGGATGTGTTGCCATATACATATGTCTAACTAAAAGAATATCTTCATTTGTAAAAGTTATGTAAATCTTATTAAAAAAAAAACTTAATGAATAAACTTATATAGTGAGGAAATTATTTCGTGGAGCAAAAATTATTAGAAGCATGTTTTATAATTATTACAAAACCAATTTATACATTCCTATAGAACACGTGTGTGGTTACCTGCTTACCTTCGTGTACTTTCAAATTGTCTATGGTTCCAATACACTAGGATAACTATTTACCTATTTAAGTAATGCTTAATTGTTTCGCTTGCGTCTTTCAATATTTTTTACTCATAACAATTTTAAGTGAGGCGCACTATTTTTTTGTTGAATAAACGTTTTATTCAACAAAAAAAATAGTGCGCCTCACTTAGTTTCAAAAAAAATAGTGCGCCTCACTTAGTTTCACTTAAAAGCAAAAACATATGAAACTGCGAAAAATGTGGGTAGATGAAAAAAAAAACTGTTTTTTTTTGATAATTATATTTGTTTATCTATTTTTATGACTTAACTTTATGCATTGTTTTAAATCGGTGGATTTAATGCTCAGGGCATTCTCTTCCAGTCAACCTTTGGGTGGTATAAAAGTCTTGTAAGGTAGATGCACAGAGGTTACGTCTTAATATAGTAAGTAATCAATGAAGATATATACGGTTCGCTATATACATATACTTATATTCTTGCTTCCGTGCACCTTTGAGTGATTGCGGTTGGTGCTAAAATTGTTTCGCAGATGAATAACCTTACACACGGCAGTGTCTGATCTCAAACTAGGCAGAGCCTATGCTATGGTACGGGAACCAGACTGCTGATAAACATACTTAGGTATGTATTTCTAAATATACATACTAAAGAAACAAAGTGCATAAAGTTATGTAAATAAATAAAGATAAAATATACTAAGACATACACACAATTGTTTGTCTTGGGTGGGAATCGAACCCGCGATCTCTGGTTTAGCGGACGAGGTAACTAACCATTAAACCAACAGATGGTAGGTGTGATGTCAGATCTTATATATGCGACAACCGTATCTCGCCCGTTTATTTATTTTAATAATTTCTTTATATTTTTTGGTGTGTAACTTCAAACAATAAACCTATAAACTATCAAATCTTATAAGATAGTTTAAAGTATTTTAATTTTTTTTTTTTCTTCTGTCCATGTGATTATTGCGTTAATCGAAACGATTAAGCATTGCTTATATCTGTGTAACGCCTTCAAAATGTGTTTATACATGCTTGTATGCCTTATATTATTCGTATCACAAAAAACAGTCACATTGCCACTACATCTACACGTCTTTTGGACAGCCAATTGGTTTAAACGGTATTTTACATTGAATACCCTTATTTAGGTTTTAAAAGGTAGGTAACCTTCCTCATGCATTGGGCTAACATGCATATCTTTTAGACAGCCATTACTTGGTCTAAACGGTATGAAAAATTCAATTTCATTCATTCATTCATTTTAATACTTATTCCTACAATGAAGAAGTTTCAATATTTTCTGATGTTTAATGATTGAGGTGCTGTGTCATGTGACTGTTTTTTTTTGTGATTAAAACCACGAAGCATAAACAGGACGCGTAATAGTAATCGGTTTATTTTTCTGATAAATGATTACTAGCAACCCTGCAATTTTGATACTCGGTCACTGGTTTCTAAAGGGATGGTGGCGTGATGTTAACCGAAGACCTTCCTTAGAATATTAGAGACATAAGAGTCGTTCAAATATTATTTACTTAGCGTTGAAGGATAGACTTTCCAACCTTTGTCTTAGAAGATAATCGAAACAAAGGTTCATACAATGGAGTTTGGTGGTGGTGATTGGTGATTCATCATCAACAGCCTTTACTAGTTCACTGGTGGACATATGCCTCTTCTTAGAAATTAGATTTTGATTAACTTAATATTTGTTCATTTACTTTTTTCTTTAAATTAAACAGATAAATATGGCAACCCAACATGCCTAAACTCAAAAGAGGACAGGATATCAGAAGATCCTTTTTATGTTATTAATGTATTATTTGCTCAATGAAATATTTATTTATGTAATTTTTAAATATGATAATTTCTTACCTGGGTATTTGCTTATAAATTACAATTAAGAAATGAAGAATTATAAAAATACCGTAAGCATCAGACGAATACAATGGTGACAGCATTGGTGACAAGAGGAAGGAACAACTCTAGAATGACTCAACTGCTTCTTACACAATACTTGAATACTTGAACGTCCAATAAAAGTACCTCCTGCTTTATGATACTTAGATAAATCACTAACTCCGGATTTGGTCCGCTTGTCTGTTTATACGTCGTGGCTAATATTATGTGTTCAAACCAGATTCGTACTACGTCTCTGCTCAAATATCAACGCAATGTCTATCACGAATTGAAAATTATTCGTAAGCCTATCATTAGGTTTTTATATATTAGACATAATTTGTACCGAACATGTTATATGTTAGATTTTGTATTTAAATTAAAACATATCTACAGAAATGGTGTTTTATTCAACTCTAGAAAGTTGGTAACAGGTCGGACTATCATCGACAGCCTTTAATGGTCAATTGCTGGACATAGGCCTCTCCTTAGAAGGTTATGGGGTTTGTGTCAAGTGTTTCTTCTCCTTGCAGTGTTGCTGTCCTCACAAGCATAGATTTGCACACACACAAGTAAAATAAATTAGGGCCGTTTTGTGCTAAGATATTTACAAGGAATTTCAAGACGCTACCAGAATGTCATGTACACATATTTCAACAAACAAGGAATTATTACAGCCATTTCTTTCACCGAAATCATCAAACTTTAAGATTGATTTCACAGTCGACAGCCCTTCTAAGACGAAGCTCTCAGCATCACAAAAGTTGTCTGTTCGAAGGACTATTATTTTGATAAACGGATTAGTTCAACAATAGCATTTCGACTCGAAGCAAATCCGATAAGATTTGTGACATGCCAACACCAAGGCTTTGTTGCCGAATAATGATAAAAAATGTTTCGCTTTTTGCCAAGTTTTAGTCGCAATCATTTTTACAGAGTTACGATTTAATCCCTTTGGTTTGATATACACACGACCGGCTGCGTCGCTTTGAAAGGATTAGAGGGAATCGTGTCAGGACGTAAGCACACACTGATTAAAGAAGGCTTTCGTATAGCAAAAGATTAGGAACATTTTAGTTATATTAGCTATTAATAGAGTATCTGAAAGGAAAATTACCTATATTTACTTGTACTGTCTGTTGTTGTGTTGCTCTTAGTCGGCTTTTACAACACCCACGGGATGAATAGCGGTGGTGACACTGCGTATTCTTAATCCGTCACCACACGAACTCCTACGTCCTCTATACCTACCTTTTAATTTCCTATCAACCTTTTATAAATTCTAAATTTGCCCATCTAATTCCTATTGCCCGATTGAGGACAGTACTACGTTCGTGAAACAAAATTTAAGGCACGTAAAATGTAGGCTTTAAAAGTACTCTAGCCACCTCTTCTGCGTAATAGGCGTGAGTGATGACGAGGTATTTGATAATGCCCTACACTTAATATTGTAGCTAAATAATCTAGAGATTTGGACAGTAAATTAAATTCAATTTATAAATTACTAGATCTCGCGCAACTAATTCGGAGTTTCAAAAGGGATTACTTTCTTTGCAATATTTTTCATTGATGCTCTGCTCCTATTGGTGGAAGGGTAATGCTGTTTAGTTTGTAGCCTTCCCCGGGCACAAACACTAAAATAAATGTTTTTATATTAGAACCAGTAGTGCCTGAGATAAGCGCATTCAAACAAACTTCAGATTTATGATATTACTAATACATACTTTTTTAGTTGTAATAATTCAAATCGGCTCACAAACGGCAAAGATATATACTTATATGAAAAATATACATATGTGTATCGAAATTTGTCTACAAAATGTATAACAGAAAAATCGTGCATTGGGAAACTACGTATTCTTAATCCGTCACCACACGTCAAAATTTCCCTAAAAAAACAAAATTAAGGAACTCTTCAAGATCCACAAATTTCTTGCTGCAATAAAAATTCAAATATTGTTAAAAATATTTATTAAGTTTGTTGGGTGAATGCCACAGCTTATATCCATATGTTGTCTACCGCCGGTCTGTCTTGCCCACTCCTCGTTTGCCAGAGAACAGATGTTTTGGTTTCTTGGTACCAATGAACCGATCAGCCTCACCCTTGAGACCCATCCGTTTGGTCTTCTTCGCGATGGCCACGTGAGCCATCCTCTTGGCTTTAGTTTGCATCTGTAACACACAAATATTTTTATAACAAGCTTGCTTTTTTACGTATATAGAACATATGAGTGATTTTCTAAATTTATAAATTGCTAACTGGCTATTATAATGTCCTACACACATCTCACACACAACCGTCTAATCCCAAACTAGGCAGAGCCTGTACTATGGTAACCAGACTGCTGATAAATATACTTATATATTTCTAAATACATACATATTGTAGATAAATTACAAACAGACAGAACAATTAATCCTGCTCACCACACAGCTTTTGTCCTGGATGAAAAAAGAACCCACAACCTAGCTTAGCAGTTAGCATCGATAACCACTTGACCAAAAAGCCCAGCATTGCCTATTTAAATAAATTTCCTATTGTATTTGCCATGGGTAATGCGCTGCAAAGCACTCGCTAAGAGCGCGACCTTATGACAAAAGGTTTATATAGGCCGCGGTTTGACTGACACAGCGCATATAAGACGCTAGACAGCTTCGATCGGGCCAAAATTAAAACTAAAGGAGATGATGATTCATTTTCACATACGCACTCATACATACACACGCATGCGTACACATACACACACATTAGTCTATAAATATCTGTTATTCCTTCCTATATTTAATATTCTAGAGTAGCTTGTTACTATGTAAGCTAATTATATCCTGGGGGCCCTGGTAATCTGTGTGACAGGGACATCTGGTACCGATACTCTCAATATATTTATAAGTTTTAATTTTAAGGAACCTTTGTGGAAGAGGAATAAAATTTATTATTATTATTATTTTTATTTAAACTAATGGCTAAAGTTGTATCTTCTAGTAAAAATAATTATAAAACTATAAATTATATTCATTCTGATTTGTTTTAGTTAAATAAAACAGTTTGTTATGTGTGTGTTATTTGTTTGCTTTTTTCTTACAAAGCACAGCATAAAACGGGTTGAACCATCAATTTTTTCTATTAGCAAAAAGGCATTATTTGTTATTTTTATACAATAATTTTACTTTGTGTTTATCTATAATTTTCACTTCGTAAAAAGGGTTACTTCAAACAATTTATGAAAACGGAGAAATTGACGGCATAACACCAATTAATTTCCTTGATGTTTATGAAAATAAAAACATGAAATGTTTGTTCTTCTATCATGTAATAGCAATATACAAGTATGTATACAAGAGCGTGACTTACAATCTTATCCCCAACGCCTTCTGTGTCCCTGGCGGGCCGGCTGACGGAGCGGCCCCGCTCATCCACCCGCTGGCGCTTGGCGGCAGGGGCGGAGCGGGAGCGGGAGCGGGACTTGGAGCGGGTGAAGTGCGCCTCCTTCGTCTCCGACATATCCACACCTGAAACATAAAATAATGTTATTATTAATACTTATAAACGTGACTACTCTTTAATTTAAATAAATAAAACTCAAAAGAAATATATTCGTTTGTATATCTTGCAGTCTGTCGTGTTATCCACAGATAAATGTACTTCAGCGCCATCTAGTGAATTCAAATGAAACTAAGTATCAATGCAATGGAAAGTACGTACGTTAATAAGTATACTATAACTGATTCTAATAATATATACGGCAGAGATACGTAGATCATATTTTCTTCCATTGTTCAATTTATTAAAAACATATTGTCCTGACAATATATTTATATGTACGTGACCCGGGTAATGCGCACTCAGCACGCGCTGAGCCCGCGACCTTGAGCCAAGAGTTACTTTGGGCCGCGGTTTGACTGACGCAGGACATACACGTACCTGCTCAGCTTCGATCGGGCCAAAACATTTCGCTAGGGTATCAAATAATACCTCTAAAAGCATAAACTTATTTCATGTACTAGACTAAACTCATACAATGAACGAGCTCACAGCTGTCTGTCAGACTCGTAAACAAAAAAATATACTACAATTCTATCTAAGGAAGACACACCGAGCTACTCCTTAACTTCTAACTTCAAAAATTCTGCATCGCGCATTAGGTTTTTAATTTATACAAAACTAGGTGTACCCTGCCACGGTTTGCAGTGGCTCATTGATGTTGCATTCATGAGCAATTACTAACGAAATTGATGGAAATAAAATTAAATAAAAAAAACTCAGGACACACATCTTTAATTTGTAATTTGTCATAGTGTATTCTACAAGTCAAGCTTTTTCATTTGATACCCATATTGAGGGAGTTGTAAAAAAATATATAATCCACAATTCTGATATTCATCAAACATAGCTAAGAACACTCCCGACTAACTTACCTTTCAAAGAAAATCAAAATCGGTTCATCCGTTCGGGAGCTACGATGCCACAGACAGACACACGGACACGTCAAACTTAAAACACCCCGTCGTTTTAACGTCGGGAGTTAGAAACAGATAAAATCAATGTTTGATACGGTTTTTTTTTATATTGGGCCTAATCCCACCCACACTAACTTCTGTACACCAGGATCCACAGCAGTGACCCACGAACACACCGAGTTATGACACTCGGGTAGTCCCAGGTAAAAAATAAACTTCTTGGAACCCGCAACGAAATTAATCAGAAGAAAATTGGCAATACAGTAAATCCACCTCCCATCCTTACCAAAGCGGTAGACAAAATGAAGTAAAATAGGCATACACCCTTTTAAACAGGGAAGCACCACGGCCACAAAATATTACGGGTCCTAGGTGAGCTATATTTGGTTTCTATAATATGTATGGCAGAATCGCACGGAAATTCACTCTAGTTGATACAAGTTGATATCACATCACATCAACAGCCTTTACTAGTCCACTGCTGGACATAGGCCTCTTCTTAGAAAGGAGGTTTTGGCCTACTAGTTGACACAAATTGTTACGGGTTGTGCATAGTGTCAAAATTTTTGAGTTTTTGAAGCGCACACAAACCAACTTAAACTTTATATATATATTGTTGAGTTACTCCCGCTATCCCTGAATACCTCGCCTGGTAGGACAAACCTCCCTCTGTGTCGGAGGGATATAACACATGTTCCTCCACTCTTTTTAACTAAACAACCGACTAAAACCTGTTTGAGATTAATCTACCAAAACCACAACTTTAAAGAACTTACCAAAAAGGAATACTTTGGAATCATGTTTGTATGAATGTCTCTTTTGAAATAAATTAGATATTTTATTAATTATTTTTAACAGGCGAACGATACTTATACGAGGCAAGAAATTTTATAATTCTATACTTTTGTTGTGTCTATTGTTGGAGTGATCAATAGAAGTACAAATCTATACAAATAAATAAAATTGGAGTGTCTGTTTGTAATATTAAAATAACCGCTTTTTACTAAATGCATATGTATGTTTACACGGTACATATGACAAAATAACATTTTTTACAATTTTTGTTTGTCTGTTCCGGTTAATCTCTGGAACGGCTGGACCGATTTCGACGGGACTCTCACTGGCAGATAGCTGATGACGTAAGGAGTAACTTAGGCTACTTTTTTTAGACTAGCTTCGCCCCGCGGCGTTGCCCGCGGTTATAACAACAAACGCGGGTAACACCGCGGGTCTCAGCTAGTTATAACTAAAACGGGTTATCGTCTGCGGTATTTTCCGGACCGATACCTTCAAACCTACAAGAAAAGAGCGTACTCCTTTCTAAAAGGCCGGCTACGCGTTTGTGCCTGTTAAGTTGCAGACGTTCATGGGTGGCACTTTCCATCAGGTGACCCGTCTGCTCGTCTGCCCCCTCCATATAAAAAACTAAAACAAAGTTAGGTGCAGTCCCCTCACCAAGTTTCTCCATCTCCTCCCGCAGCTTGGTGGTGGAGCGGTCCTTGGCGCGGGCGCGGCTGTTGCGGGGCATGACGGGCTTCGTGGACTGCTTCACCAGCCGAGACTCGTCCTTCAGGATCGCCTTCTTGTTGCTGCAACGCGATATTACATAGACATTGAAACATTAGATATTTCGACTGGCCCGCTGGTCTAGTCGGAACGATTCTGACTGCTATACTATTGTTACTTGTTACTATTTGATGGGCCTGTTGGTGACGCCCTGACTGCTATGGCAGAAGTCGTGGGTTCGATTCCCACCTAGGACAAATAATTGTGTGATGAGCATCATCAATTATTATGTCTGGGTGTAATTTATCTTTAATATGTATGTATTTGTGGCAAAGTGGCAATGGGCAGGGCACATAGCAAGGAGAACTGACGGCCGATGGGGCAGCAAGGTTCTCCAATGGAGACCACGTACTGGAAAGCGCAGTGTGGGACGACCGCCTACCCGATGGACGGACGACCTGGTAAAGGTTGCCGGAAACCGTTGGATGCAGGCCGCAATCAACCGTCCCCGCTGGAAATCATTGGGAGAGGTCTATGTCCAGCAGTGGACAAGCATAGGCTGAGGTATATGTATGTATTTAGAAATATGTAAGTATGTTTATCAGCAGTCTGGTCACCATAGTACAGGCTCTGGCTAGCTTGGGATCAGAAGGCCGTGTGTGAGGAAATGAATATTATTACATCTATTTATTCCTAAATTGGTTACCACAGTGTTGTTATTTGTACGATATTTACGATGACGATCATACGAACATTAATTCACTTTTTAATTTAATTTGTGATTTAAGTCATGTCATCGTAAGAGCCGACTAAGAAAGCAAACTACGCAATACAATAGCACTGCAAAAAGAAGGGAAACTTGAAACAAACCCTATACCAACCTGTCTGGCCAGCGTGGTATAGTAGGCCAAAACCTCCTTTCTAAGGAGAGGCCTATGTCCAGCAGTAGACTATTACAGGTTGTTGATGTGATGATGAAATGCATCCTTAAAAAACTGTACCAGATAGAGGCGGTCTATTGAATAACTTCTCCGTATTACATGGACATGTAAACTCACCGAATCTGCCGCGCCAGTTCCCTGATCTCCTTCATGGTGTCGTCTAGCTCGATCTTGGGCACAGCGTACATGCCTCCTGCTTCGCGGAGTTCTTCCTCCTTCTCCAGTTCCGCTAGTTTCTGTAAATGAACATTTCATGGGAAATAAATGAAATGTATTATATTCCTCCAATTTTATACTTATATAAGAAAGTAAAAAAAAAAATACTATGTATTTAGTGTGTTGGTCGATCTCATTAACTTTTCAATATATATAATTATTATATAAACATACATCACTATTGACTTCCAGTATAAGTTGAACTGTCATTGTATAAACTTTTATGTATATATAATGTTGAGAATTAGCTTTTTGCTCATCTATAATCAAAATTTTATATAAATTTATAAAATTTTGATTATAGATGAGCAAAAAGCTAATTTTCAACATTATATTCAGGTAGGTATTCTCAATTGGAGGTATTCTCAATTGTAAACAAGTGTTCCACAGCATCATTTCGAAGTTAAATATTGAAAAATTAATTTGATTGGACAGTCTATTACTGTAGGTTGACAAAGTACACACTCTCTCCAGGATTGTTATGGGTCGAATTCTTAGAGGGGTTTAAGGTGGAGATACCCACCAACGAAAAATACACACTTTATGTGTAATATAATTCTTAAGTTCCTAAATTCACTTCTATAATCAATAATATTTATAATTATTTTATAACTTACATCAAATATCTCTGGATCAATATAATCAGCGATGTTGTGTCCCTCCCAGAACTCAGGTATGGGGTCGTGTCTCTCCTCTTCTGGGATATCTGAGTAGTTCTTCTGGAGGTCTAGAATAGGACAAAAAAAAATGCTGTAGGTTAATCTGTCAGATCGTAGCACATACAATATCTACCCACGCTCTGTATATCCTTGGGGTGTCTTAGTGGCGTTTTAGACACATCACATCAACAGCCTTTAATAGTCTTGACAATATGACAAGATAAACGTACGACTACTTAACGGCTTGGTCAATCACCAGTGATCATATTGTACAGTACCGTGGATGAGCCATCATCATCAACAGCCTTTAATAGTCCACTGCTGGAGGTAAGAGAAGGAAAACTTGACACAAACCTTACACCAACCCGCCTGGCCAGCATGGTATAGTAAGCCAAAACTTCCTTTGTAAGAAGAGTCCTATGTCCAGTAGTGGACTATTAATAGTCTACTGCTGGACGTAAGAGTTACGACACCCATGGGATGAATAAGGGTGGAGACACTGTTATCTTAATCCGACACGAATAGACACTCATTTTACTTATTACTAGCGAACCCGACAGACGTTGTCCTGTCAAATTTGACACTGCGATGGTAGCGCCGTCTGTCTGATCCAATGTAAAACATTCCAAAATCAACAACTACTAATAAATTAAAAATTAATTAAAAAAACATTGTCCAGCGGACAAAATTGTGAATCTAAACCATTCCCAGATCCCCTTGAACACACACAAAAAAATTCATCAAAATCGGTCCAGTCGTTTGAGAGAAGTTCAGTGACATACACACTCACAGAAGAATTATATATATAAAGATATAACACATTTTAACAGATATAAGAAAGTCTCATGCAAGGAATAGGGGAAAATCTATTGTTGTAAACAAATGATAAATAGGCAAATTGTGTATATACTACATGAGCTAGGTAGGTGTAGGCTGAATGGAACATATAAGCTACAGCACTAGTAGGTCTCTCGAAATAGATCCGGCTCGAAGGACCATGTTCAGGTGTCGATGGGTAATTGAAAAATAAATATTAAGAGGATGTATTAACTGATTGTGTTATATGTTACACGGACAGTGATAAAGTAACTAGCAAGTTGTAGTTAAATTTAACTTTCGTACAAAACGATAATTTCTTGGAACCTGATTGGTCAGGGGGCGGGGTTTGATCGACGCGTCAGTATTTTCTTAACGCGATGGGACTATAGGTATGAGGTCATGGAATAGTATTACATACAAAAATATACTGATTTAATGGGACAGTCATCAACCCTATTATGGACAGCTGCTTCTTCCATGAACAGTTATAGGGTCTCTCACCAAGTACATAGTCGTCTCCCTCTTCAATCTCAATCTCCCTCTCCAACTTCCGTTTCCTAGACAGCTTCTCGGCCTGCTGTTGTTTCTTGAGCGCGACGGAGGGAGGTATGACGGCGGGGCGAGCCTTGGAGTCACGAGGAGTGGGGACTGCTACATGTAACCTGTTTAGTATGCCATCCACCTGATAAAAAAACACAAGTAATATTATTGATTGACTGGCCTGGTGGTTAGGGACCCTAACTGCTAAGCCGGGCGTCGTGGGTTTGATACCTACTGAGGACAAATAATTGTGTGATAATTTGTTTGTATTCAAGTATGTTTATCAGCAGTCCGATTACCTTAGTACAGGCTCTGCCTAGTTTAGATCAGATGGCTGTGTGAGGATATTTGAGCAGCTGAACATCATGGACTATCTGCAATTTTCTACCAAAGCCTACTTAGTCTGGTCACACAGCTCAAGACAGACAGAGAGCAGCAGATTGGTGTGTACAATGTGAATGGAAGAAGACTTAATAGATGAGCATTCCTTTCACTGCTACTGTACTGAGATTTTGAAGTGATGCAGATCCAGCTAGTTAGCGGTACCAGATTGTATGTGGCTTGCAAAGATAAGTCCTAATTTCAGTGGTGTACACAAAAAAAAACAAGAAATGCAAATGGGTCAGTGATATGTGTATCGCAGAAGTTAGCAATGGCCCTGGGTAATAGTTAGAACAGACCAGCCTTGTCTTGACACTCACAAGTCATAGTCACATCTGAAAAAACTTTTAGCATTTAATAGCTTAATTATTTCGGAAGGTTATGTGCTATTAAAGATCACACTTCAACCCTATAGTGTATAGCAGCGACCATAAACGATGGTTAATGCCATAAACTAGAAAAAATGGCTAATGTGTTATAACTATACAATAGCGATGTGCCGAGTAGGGCTTGACTCGAGTCAGACTCGATTCCTGCTTTAGACTCGCTTATTGGAATACCAATTTATTTTGATTCGAGTACGCCGGACTCGATTCCGGCACTCGAGTCAGGAAGAATCGAATTTGTACTCGCTGACTCGATTCTGTTTATCGATTCGATGTGACTCGAATCTAGCATACGAGTTAGGTTGACTCGCTCGTACTCGATATCTGTTTACATAAGGAATGATGTGACGCCTTTTTTTTTGTTGTTGGGGTGGAAAATCCCTTCGGATCTCCTACTCCTCGGGGACTATGAGCCAGGAGTATGTGGTGATTCCACTAAAAACCACCCCGACGGCCGGCCTCAGGTGTCCTACTCTGGGGAGGACCCGGACCATGTTATTTCAGGTCCTCCCCGAATTGACACCATGCCTAATCAGGCCCTATCCCAGGGGAGAAGAGTTCTGGACCCGAATTTCTAGACTCAAATTCTAGATCGAATTTCCAGACTAGAGTTCTGGACTCGAATTTTTAGACTCGAGTCCTGGACCAGAGTTAACGTTTGAATACCAAACATAGAACTCGAGTACTGGGCTCGAATCGCGGAATCGAGTCGAATACCGTATAAACCGACTCGAGTCGATTCGATCCACCAAAACAGCGACTCGGCACATCACTACTATACAAGTCCTTTAAAATTAGTTTCTGTGGTTAGCCCTAGTTCTCACATACCTTTTTGGTCCTCATCTTCTCTGTAACTCTGTGCGACAACAGCCTTTCGCAGGCTTCTATTTTAACCTCCTGTACGCCCTCCTCTGTTATGGTAGACATACGCATGACAGGCACTACCGACAGATCCGAGTTCGCGTCCGCGCTGAAAATTAGAAAAATAAACAATGATAATTGTTATGTTAGGTGTCATGGTGTCATCATCATCAACAGCCTATACTAGTCCACTGCTGGACATAGGCCTCTCCTTAGAAAGGAGGTTTTGGTCTACTATACCACGCTGGCCAGACGGGTTGGTATAGGGTTTGTTTCAAGTTTTCCTTCACTTTGCAGTGCTGTTGTCCTGCTTAGTTTGCTCCCTTAGTCGGCTCTTACGACACCCACGGGATGAATTGGGGTGGTGACAATTTGTATTCTTAAACCGTCACCACACGGACTAGACAAGTGTTATGATCATTGCTGTATAAGCTGTGACTGTATGGATGGCGTAGTGGTTTAAGCGGTCACCTCTACTACGCTGAGTGTTATGAGTTCAAACCCCACATGGGACGACACTTTGTGTGATCCACAAATTGTTGTTCTGAGGCTGGGTGTTTTTGTGTTCGTTTAATATATATTTGTAAAGTCCCCCGCGATACAAGATATATTTCTAATGCGTGATTTGTCTAAAAAAAAAAATTCGTGCTATGTTCAAATATATGAATCTGCTAACACACCTTCTGATAAGACCCTGTTAGATGTTTATAAATGCACTTTATAACTTACTTGACAAGATTTCCTTTAGAACAAATCTCCATTAGGTTCTCGATGAGCTGCTTCTTGGCAGGGGCCAGGTCCTCGGGCTTCACCACATCCATCTTGTTGAGCACTACTATGAGAGGCTTGTTGCTGAACAGGGGTTTAATACTCTGAAATAGTGATATCTGAAACACACATTTTCTGTTATTAATTTGGGATATTAAAACTCAAAGGTATTAATGACTGGTTCGATTTTGATAAGGTTTTTAAAATGAAAACTTCTTTCGGCACGTTAGGCATTTTTAAACAACAAACATAAGAATGTATTTTTTAAGATGGGAAAAAACCATTACATTGGTACCGTTACGGACACCTCTGTGTATAAGTACCTACATATATGGGCCCCGTTTACATGAGAGTTGAGTTTGGGTTGAAATACATTGATAATATAACTATATCTAATATAAACATTTATTGTGTGTATACGTACAACATAGATATATATTCATTTAGGAACTTTTCGAATCGAAAAAAAAAGGATGTTCTAATTAAAAAAAAACAAAAGTTCAAGTTTTCACTTCTGTCGGCACTCCCGGAGTGCAACTGTTTTGTATCTGGAATCAACTAAGTCATGAGACACTGAGTTTTGTTACTCGATGAGAAATGAATAAATAAAAAAAAATAAAAAACAGATGTTTTAGCTTTTTCGTTGTTATTTAGAGGGGAAATTCTCTAAATTATCTCCCTATGCTCTCGCATAATGGTGTATGTGCAACTCAAAGGTCACAGGTCACATCAGGAGGGGGAGGGGGTGCAAGAACAACGAAAGAATTGCTTAAACACTGGTTTTCTGTGAATCGGTTCAGCGGTTATTCATTCCCCATACAAACTTAAACTGATTTCTGGAATAATAACTATCCATGTCCTTTTCCAGGACTCAAACTATCTCTGTACCAAATTTTTCTAAATCGGTTTAGCGGTTGAAGAGGTAACAGACAGATAGACACACTTTCGCATTTAAAATATTAGTATGGATTACTAACTACCAATTACACAGCTTGCTTATAATGTATAAAATGCATTTTTTTTTATGACTACCAAACATTCCATTCCCAAGGAAGGTTGACGTCAAAAAATCAATACCTTTTCACAATGAAATAAAGAAGTGCGTGAAAAAAGATGTTGATTGATCAAAAAGGTAGATGAAAACTCATTACAACCCCTAATGAATTTAGGGAAAAGGTAGAAAGACACACTACTGACTATAAACGAATCTAAACCAATTAATCCGAAAGTATATTTTATAAATAGTAGATACCTGTTCTTCAATACTGTGTCCGCACTGCTCCGATGGGTCCACAAAGTAGAGTACTGCAGCCCGCAGATGAGCCAGGGCGGTGACAGCCTGCATCTCTATCACGTTGCGCTCCTCTAGAGGGTGGTCCAGGATACCTGGGGTGTCGATTACCTGTACACAGGGAACAGTTATAATTAGGAACAATATCTATGATCTATTTTTTTAATCTTTAAATCATAACAGTATAAGGGAATGTACCCATACTGTGTGACACATTTTTTATCACCCCCCTCAGTGACCCCCTCCTTCCGCCATCACACATCATCACATCAACAGCCTATAATAGTCCACTGCTGGACATAGGCCTCTCCTTAGAAAGGAGGTTAGCCTCTAGTTATCACGTAATAATTCATAAATATGGTTTTAAATGTCAGAAAGTTAATAACCTCACTGCAGTACAGGTATATGTACATCAGTGTTGACATCTGGGAGTTTAAGAAACGCTAAACGCTGCGCGGTATATTTGAATATAACTCGAAAAAGCACGAGACTACCCTAGAGGATATTGACGACGTGACGAAAACCTAAGCTCTACCCCCGCGTGGTATTTTAAAGATCACGTAATATGGGTACGTTCCCCTTAAATGCAAAGAGAGAGAGAAACAAGTCATCTAATGGCAAGTGACCACCACGGCCTATGGACACCTGCAACAGTCAGTCAAGAGTCAGTAGTTGCCGCCCTTTCAGTCTCCCAAATAAGGGTAGGCGAGGGTTTGAGCTCTGGTAACCCTACTCACTCGGTGAAAAGCTGGTTTTATTGGGAGTCCATGGTATCACCTGCTCGAATCTGGCCAACATGTGCTGCCAAGCATAGCTCTTCCGCGATGTGTTTGACATTGTCCAAGTTTCGTATAACACTATCTATAGGGCTATACGTATACACGGCTAACTGAAATACCTGATCAGTGTTACATGTGTGTGTAAGTACAATAAGTATTTTATTATATGTTTACACATGTGTAAATTTTAAATAACACTAACATTCCTTTACTCGTCAACACCATTCTGCATTATTAGTTTCTCAATTTTTATAGTAACAGTTCAATAAAATTACAGGTGCTTTTTTTATGGCATAAGGGTGCAAACGAACAGACGGGTCACCTGATGGTAAGCAACTACAGCCGCCCATGAACACCTGCAACTCAAAAGACACAAATGCGTTGCTGCCCTTGCAGTCCCTCCCGCTCTAGTCAGCGGGAGGGGGGGTTTGGGCTTCGGTAACCTCAGTCACTCAGTGAAAGGCAACAAAAGAATTGCTTAACACTGGTTTCTGTGAGGCCGTGATATCACTCCAGTCGAGCCGGCCCATTAGTGCCGAAGCATGGCTCTCCCACGGTAGACTGTCTAGTTATTATTAATATACACACCTGCCACCTCAAGTACTTGTAGTCGGTGTGTCCAACGTACAGACTCTTCGTAGTGAACGCATAAGGCTGCACTTCTACATCAGCTCTTGTGATCTGTGAAAGACGTAAATATTATATAAAAATACAGAAACACAGCAAATGGCTCTTATAACCACTGAAAAGTCCCACCAACTTCCGCCATCTTGCTGCAACTTGATCAAATCATCTCTAGGTCTATTTGCAGTATTGTCAGGCAGCTACATTAATATATACATGCTAAATCATTGGTCTTATTTCGATCAAAATTGCGTGAAAAATAAACTCACCTTGTTGATAAAACTGGATTTGCCAACATTAGGGAAGCCGCAGATGATGATGGTACGTGTGTACGGATCGATGGACGGCAGACGCGACAAATGTTGACGGACCTGATAATAGAGTATAGTTATTATGACTAACACAGTTAACTTCAAATTTGGTTGACCAAGGACTTAGTAGTATTACTTGGTGAACATCCTATTTAAGAGGATAGCTACTTTAGTTGCTAGGCAATATAAGTAATAAGCTAATATAAGTCCGACCTGGTTCATTGGTCAATCAAATAGTAATAGTACAATTATTGAAGTAAGTTTTGTCATGCGCTTCTACATAGAATATTTAGTACTTTTGCACAACATCATCATCATCATCATCAACAGCTTTTAACAGTCCACTGCTGGACATAAGCCTCTCCTTAGAAAGGAGGTTTTGGCCTACTATACCACGCTGGCCAGACGGGTTGGTATAGGGTTTGTTTCAACTTTTCTTTCTCTTTGCAGTGCTGTTGTACTGCGTAGTTTGCACTCTTAGTCGTCTCTTACGACACCCACGGGATGAATAGTGGTGGTGACACTCCATATTCTTAATCCGTCACCACACGGACTTTTGCTCAGTTTAAAAAATAGCCTTTTTTAATTAATTCACTAAAAACTAAATGTTTCACAACATATTCAGATAAAAATTAAATTACAACAATAGTACTTGATGACAATATATACCAAAGCATATTGCTTAGAACGGAAAGATTTCATACCTGTTCTAGATAAGTAAGGTTGGCCGCTTGACGTTTCATGATGGTGGCCATGCGGCCGAGAGCCGCTCGCTTCAACTGCTTGCATCGATATAAAGAGTCACCGTATTTTAATAGACGCACATAATCCTTTGCCACTCTGTAAAATAATAAAACATAATTGGAAAAATTATAGCATTTTCCTTAAATTTCATACTTTTTTATTTTTATTTATTTAACTTAATGCGCAAAGTTGTACACAGGAGGACTTAATGCCCGAGGCATTCTCTGCCAGTGATGATGCGGTAGGTGCATGAGGAAACAGAGAATTTGACTTTATTTATATTAAATTTATTAATTTAAGATACTATATTCATTACTACATATATACATAGAAGTCCCAAGTATACACATATGATACATGAACATACACATTTATAAAATACATAAATATCAAAATACTGTAACGGTGCATTTCGCACCATTACAGGAAAGTTAATTATCGTGTTTTTATTTTGACAGTTGAAGTTTCTGACGTTTCAGTAAGGCTCGGAGAGATGGCGTGGCACCTGGCGCCCGAGATTATTGGTTTTGTTAGAATTTGTGGTGCCGAACCAGTTAGTTTATTCATTTGTATGCAACATAGAATTACATTACTTAAAATATATATTTTTTTAATATTACAAACAGATTAGTGGACATCCTGATTTAACTGGGAGCGCATTCCAGAGAAGAACTGACTGTACATAGAGGAAAGAATTGATTTAGTTGGAACTTCATCAATTCTTCCTTCTATGTTACTTTAGTTATATATACTTTAGTTCAGCCATGATGCACTAAAATGTTATCACATTAGCTTCACTTGTATGTTTGTTTGTAACCGACTCCTTTGTGCGTGATTTTGACTGCCTTTAAACGGTCAGAATTCGTTCAAACTTTGTAGATATATGGAGGACATAGTTTTAAAAAACTAAAAAAACCACGCTTTATATAAAAAACTGGGTGGGCGCTTTTTACTATTGACAACAGGCACCCAACGCTTTTTTTTCAAATTAATTAAAATTTATTTTCAATTTTTTAGTTTTGTTTTCTATCTAAAAAAATTTTTAAAGTGGCAAGTGACAGCTACAATGATTGAGTAGTGACTATAAACTTGGCTCTTTTCTGGACTAAATAGAGCAGTAGTTGATATCAAATCCAACTTACGTGTCAATGAGATGTCTGGCTGTGTTCAGCTGCCCAAGACCTAGTTTGTAGTGGTCCTTGTCGTACAACACGTTCATAAGATCCGCATAGAACGGATGCACATCATCTAGTTTTGGGAATTCCTAAAAGCAACAAACATAAAAATATATTTTGTCTTTAACATATACTTGATTGTTGACAGTAATGTAGTATTAATTTATAACAACACAGAAATAGTTGTTCCTTATGGACTGTTTGCTTGCTTGTTTTAATCATCATCATAGTCAAAAGTCATGGCCTAACCAGAATGTATTCTGTGTGATGAGCAAGATCATTTGTTTTGTGTCTGTGTTATTTATCTACATAAATAAAAGTAATAGGGTTTTTTATGGTCACATGGCTATTTGCACGATACTTATGCCTAAAAACCAGTTGAAATATTTTTTGTCTATCTGTCAGTTATAGATTACCTGAATCTTCAAAATGGCTGGACCGATTTTGATAATATTTTACTACTAGGTAGCTGTCTAATAAGGAGTAACTTGTTACGACTTTCCATTGACATCATAATATAATTATAAGCACACACGCAACGCGCATAGTTTTTGAGAAGAAAAATATGCAAATAAATATTTTTGCAATATTTATGTCAAACCCTACCACAGATTACATGGAATTTTCGCCATTGAATGTTTCGTGCTGAGCCAGTAATTTAGTTAACCTCTCAGAAAAACTCTATAAAAATTCTTGAACCCGAATCCTTATGGGCTGCAGTCACATACTGTCTCTTTCTAAATTATATACACACTTACAATGTTATATGCAAGTGTTATTTAATACAAGTACATCTTATTGTACTTGGAATAAAACAGTACCTTTATTTATTAAAATTGAAGTTCAAATAATCAAATGTATTTTTATTCTAATATAAACCAGGAATAAGGCAAACAGTTAATTCTGTAAACATATTGCACAATATGTGCAACTCATCAGATATTACAAAGTTACTAATGACAAAGTTCAAATCAAAGCAAAATATAAAACAGAAAAAAAACACAATAACATATCTAATTGAATTAGTGGGGATTCACAGACCAGACCTTAGGGAGGGTGGTTATACTGTGAAGGATTAATGATACAATTGGTGGTGTCATACCAGTGGATCCCAGACTAAGTAGTATGGGATACACTTACCAAGTGACGTGAGCTATTTTGGCATAGTAATTAAAAAAAACCTAATATGTCCTCTAAAGCAGCCATTGACTCACACTTAGCGCTTTACGCTTTTTACAACTAAATGCATCCATTTAATACTTTAAAGAATAATTACTACCATTATATTCTGTTTTTAACAAAATTTCTATAGTTCGAAAGTTCTATAGTTAGTTATAAATACAGTAATTACTTACTTGTATAATCCTTGACAGGCGGTCGTGGAAGTTCTGTTGCGTGAATTTAACTTTTCTTATGTAAAACCCACGTATTCTTGATATTTTGTAGTGTTTGTGTACAACCGTAGGTGTTTTACGTTGTGTTTTCGACAATATTATATCTATGAAGTCCTAGAAATAAAAATTATACTTAGAAATCCTAGAAATATAGGTTATATTGGGTCTTTGTAGGTAACTTCTCGTAATTTACTTCAGTAAGAAATATTTAGAATAATTACCTTAGCTGTAGGGACTACAGCGATCTTCTTGAAGTTATATAAATTCATTTTGAGCTATTTTATTACACTTATAAAATAAAATGGAACTCGCATTTGTTCCACACGTAAACACGTGTTTATAAAAGGACGAAACGTCAAATCTTTGCGTCAAAATAAGATTTGACGTTATGGTTGCACCTACATGTAATTTTTAGTTAATAAATTCTTGTCGAGTGACTTAGCGTGATATCATTTATCTAACGAAAAATTTCCTCTGGGGCAATCTCACTTACGTGTCTAATTTGATACTGCAATTAAGTAGTTAATTTTTATCTTAACTCAATATTTGAAAACTAAGCAAAAATTTTCAATCTAGCAATGTAGCCAAAGTAACGTCAAACTGTGATCAAATGGCAGTAGAGGTTAAGCTGATGATTGCTGACTGTCGGTATTATAATTTAAAATAATGTCAGGTATATTATAAAATTGGAATCACTGGAACATTTTAAATATATTTACTGAGTGTTCTGAATTATCAAAGTACATTATTCTTCACAGAGTTGTTAAAAATTGTAAGTATTGCATTGCATCATTTTTCATTTGTTTTATCATTTTTACCGACAGAGATTTCCTCGATTTCCTCACGCGAGTTTACCTTGCAGTCTTACAAGATTTTTTTCTACATTTACTCTTATCTAGATGTACGTTCTTATTACTTTCAAAATAGTGAGTGATGTATATAAATTGCAGATTAATTGGAAAGTGAAAAGTACTGGCAAAAGATGTATTCGAGATTACATAGCTGTGCGAGGGCTAGTCTACACTACCGTCACTCGTCAAATCAGAAGTACAGCAGCACCATTTTAAAAAAGAAAGAAAATTTATCGAAACTCATCCAACCGGGCAAAACCATCCATGGCTTCCTTTGCGCAGAAGTGGAACAAATTAAAGAATACAATATGACAGCATACTTTTTAGTGCATGAGAAGACTAAAACAGAGTATCTACACTTAGATAGAGACGATGCCAATAATGTATTTTCTGTAGGTTTCCGAACAACACCCTTAGATTCTATGGGAACCCCTCATATACTGGAACATACAGTTTTATGTGGATCAGAAAAATATCCAGTGAGAGATCCATTTTTCAAAATGTTGAATCGTTCTTTAGCGACTTTCATGAATGCTTTAACAGGCCCAGATTATACTTTCTACCCATTTTCATCACAAAATGAGGTTGATTACAGAAATCTCCAAAAAGTATACCTTGATGCTGTATTTAAGCCTAATCTTTCTCGCTTAGATTTTTTACAAGAAGGCTGGAGATTAGAACACTCGAATATTGAAGACCTTAAGTCAGCTCTGATGTTGAAAGGAGTTGTCTACAATGAAATGAAGGGTGCATTTTCTGAAACAAGCTCATTGTTTGGTCAAAGATTTATCAATACCATTTTACCAACTGGAACTTACGGTTATGTCTCTGGAGGAGATCCGTTACACATACCAGAACTCTCACATGACCATTTAAAAAAATTCCATTCAACTTACTACCACCCCAGTAATTCCAGAATTTATTCTTATGGCAACTTTCCTTTAGATGCTAATTTGAAGTTTTTGAATGAGGCTTACTTAAACAAGTATGAATACTTGGATCCAAAACACAGTATTGTCCAACCACAGCCGAGATGGACAGATCCAAAACGTGCAAACATATCATGCAGAGTAGATCAATATGGAGTGCCAATTGAAAAACAAAATCAAATTGCTATTGGTTACGTAATGTCTGATATTACAAAAATTTATGAGACTTTCATGATCATGGCTCTCGCCGAATTAATGATTATCGGTCCGAATTCTGCGTTTTATAAAAGTTTGATTGAGAAAAATATATCAGGAGGCTATAATTCATTGACGGGTTATGATAATCAAATAAGAGATACATTATTTGTTGTTGGTTTGAGAGATGTTGAGGCATCAAAGTTTGACATGGTAGAATCTATTGTTAATGAAACTTTAGAGAAAATTCATAAAGACGGTTTTGATAAAGATCATATTGAGAGTGTACTGCACGGTTTTGAACTGTCAATAAAACATCAATCCCCAAAATTTGGACTGAATCTTATATTCAATCTTATGCCAATTTGGAACCATAATGGTCCAGTGTTAAAGGCTTTAAAAGTGAATAATTTATTGAACCAATTGAAAGTAGATTTAATGAATCCGAGTTTCGTAAAGAAAGTTATTGAAGATTATTTTATTCAGAACAAACACAAATTAGTAATGACAATGGAACCTGACCACAAATTTGATGAGGCTTTTACTGCAGCTGAGGCGAGGGCACTTCAAGCTAAAGTTGAAGCCCTTAGTGAAGAACAGAAATTAGGGATTTACAAAGAAGGGCTTGCACTGTCTAAAGCACAGAAAGAAACTCAAAATTTGGATGTGTTACCTTGTTTAAAAATTGAGGAGATTACACTAAATAAGACAGCTCCACCATTGAAACATACAGTTGCTGCCACTATTCCTCTACAACTGTGTGAAGCCAATACTAATGGTGTTACATATTTAAAGGGTGTGTTAGGGACTGATAATTTATCTCAGCCAGAAAGACTTCTATTACCATACTTTAACTATGTAATCACCAAGTTTGACACCAAGTCTTATAATTATCGGGACTTTGATAAGTATGTGAGCAAAACTACATCAGGCCTGGGCTTCCTTACCCATATTACGGAGCATATTGATCAGAGTGGCCAATATGAACAGGGCATCGTCATCAGTAGCCATTGCCTAGATGAAAATCTTCCTAAAATGATGGACATTTGGACAGAAATTTTCAGTATTCCAAATTTCAGCAACAGTGAACGAATGCAGATGTTACTCACCAATTATTGCTCATCTTTAAGCAATGGGATTATCGACAGTGGTCATACTTATGCTATGCAGGCAGCTAGATCATTAATCTCTTCTGTAGATGAATGTAAAGAGAACCTTATAGGTTTACATCACATAATAAACATGCAGGACATTCAGAAGAATCAATCCATTGAACAAATACAATCAAAAATTGAAAATATAGGCCAAAAGATTTTAAAAGGCACAAATTTGAGAGCAGCTTTCCACTATTGTAATACCAATGTGGATGCTCAAAAGTATATTGATGATTTCTGCAAGAAATTGTGCAAGGGTGTCGAACACAAAGACATGAATAGAATCAATTGGACTGACTCCAAGAATATGCAAAAAGAAAATCGGGGTATGCACATTTTAATGAATATTCCAGTCAATTTCTGCGCGAAAGCCATTCCGACAGTACCTTATACTGATCCAGACTACCCTAAATTGAGGGTGCTGTCTAGATTCTTAACATCGAAGTTTTTACATCCAATTGTCAGGGAACAAAATGGCGCTTACGGCGGTGGAGCCATGTTAACTTTAGATGGAATATTTAACTATTACTCGTACAGAGATCCCAATTCAAAGGTTACACTGGATGTTTTCGACGATACAACGAACTGGATGTTAAAGAACACTGATTTAATTGATGAACAGAATCTATTTGAAGCAAAACTTTCAATTCTGCAACAAATGGATCAACCTGTTGCTGAATATATGAAAGGCGTTGATTTATTCTTGTACGGATTGTCATATGATATCTGGAAAACTCAACGGGAAAGAATTTTAGCAGTCAATAAGGATGATCTCCTTGAAGTGTGCAATAAGTACTTAGGAGTTAATTCATGGTCTGCCAAATGCGTAATTGGAGAAGGATCGAAAGATCTGAAAGAGGGCAATGAGAATTGGGACACTGTTAGTGGTCCACAGCAATAACTAGACGCCTGCTTGTAGAAATTAGTTGGTTGAAAAGGCTGCTGGCAAGCCTTTGGAATAGTAAAAGATAAAACTAGCATTTTATCTATAAAATGAACTGTAGGAAGTTCAAGTTAAAACAATATATATGGATATTTTGAAGAGTTTCATGGTAATTTTAAATGCTTCAGGAATTTAGGTCAGAGGAAATTCTGAGTCTCGACTGAGACCTAAAGTGTCTTCTCATACGTCTTAAACAAATTGTTCTTCTGGTACATACTACTGTCTTCCTTTGTTCCTCGACGTTGAACTGAACTGGAGGCTTATAAATTGTATCTTGGAAATGAATTTGAAGCATTGACCTACAGAATTATCAAACAACAATTAACGGCAATTTAGTGACAGTGCAAGTTCGTTAGCTCGTTGAGAATACAGAGCAAGCAAAGGCGTCTAACAGCAACGCAAAAGCATTTTATTTATTACTGAGTCCGTTGTTAATAAATGTTATTTTCTAATCGAGTTTGTTTTTATTTTTGCAAGCCGTGTGTAATGAATTATTTTAACCATGGGAGACCCATGTTTCGAAATGTTGGACTGCCTCGGTGTTGCAGTTGAAGCGTACGCGACTGTTGTACTGTGTACTCAGGTTCGATTCCCGGGTCGGACCAAATGTTTGTATGATTTACATATATTTGTTTCAGAGTTTGGGTGTTTTATATGTGTGTACATATTTACAAAAAAAAAGCTATAGGTATAAGTATTCTATCAGTCAATCTAGCTTTTATAGTACAAGCTCTGATTAGTTTGAAACTGAATGGCGTTGTGTGTGTCTGATGTCCGAAATATAATTTTGACCTATGCAAAGCTTTTGTGGCTGTCGAGTTGAAGAGTCTCGGACTGAGAGACGCGTGGACGACGGTAGTCACCGTTTGCATGTTTAAAATTATTGTCAACTTTAATGCGACACCGCAGATTGCTGAATAGGTACACGAATGAACTGACAAGTCGATTTAGTACCAGCGGTATTGTTACGTTTACGCATCTAAACTGAAATGTGTAATACTTCTGTACGTTATAACGATACTTCTGAATATACGAATCTAGAAGTAAGGGTAAGAGTTTTCAAGAGAGACACATATTGTACAAGACAGATCCAAACATTTTAGTAAATTTTGGTATGCGAAAATAGAATAGTACCTATCCAATATCAGCTCAGATAAAACTTATGGAGCAGAAGACGGAACAAGCTTAAATGGATCCGTGGCTGTTTATACTGGGCTGTTGTGTTATAGGTCAACCGGTCACCAAAGTTATGGGAAAAAAGAAAAATTTATAACCACTAGTAACTAATTTTCATCACGGTATACTTATTTCTTTAACTACATGGTCCAAAACAATACATTAGATTTGTATTCTTCGTGCATAAATAATACAAATAGTTAAATCTTCGTATTTTGGACTCTGTAGTAATAGGTAGGTACTTTATAATGCTTCTCTATTAATTTCAGGTTTAAATGTCGTTACCAAAAGATTTCGAATCCAGTGAAGAATATTTCACCGAATGCCTTAAATTCTTTGAAGATTATCAATATTTATACAACACATCAAATGTTGAAATCCTTTTACATAATGTTTTGGATAAAATAGATCTCAACGCTGGAGATATCGATGTTTTTGATGACAACATAGATCTAGCTGCCATAAGCGATGATTATTTGATCAAATTCTTTTCAAAACTGAAGAAACTTCAAGTATTCCATAAAGATTTCCTCCAAGATGAAGTAGAATATAATATCAATGTTCCATTAAGTATTAAAAAGAAACACGAGATAATGTATTTGGCTAAAGAGATAAATGAAATATGCGGAAATAATAATTGTGATGTGATAGTAGACTTTGGCTCGGGTTTGGTAAGATATTTTTCCAAACATTTTATTCATAATATTTTTATTTATAGTTACACACAGCAACACCTGTATATACAATGCAATACAAATATTTTCACATAGAACCAAATGCCACCTCTGACTTTAATAGTCGACAGCCTTAATAGTCCACTGCTGGAGCAGATGCTGTACTAAGGAGAGGCCTAAAGAAAGGAAGTTTTGGCTAATTACGCGTTTGGGGTTATACTTATCTATTGAGTTTAATGTACGGGTACGTGTGTAATTTTAAGCTTTGTTAATATTTGTTTCAGGGCTATTTGGATCAATTACTATTTGAAACAACTAACTACAAAGTTCTGGGCATCGAATGTAATGAAAACCATTACGTTGGCGCCAAAAAAAGACAACGGAAATACCACGAAAATTCTTTACAGAACGTTAAGTATGTCAAGCACACAATTAAAGGCGATTCGCATGAAAAAATCAATTTTTTTTTAACAGAAAAGTTTCAAAATCTTGACAAGTTTTGTATCACTGGCCTTCATGCTTGCGCAGACCTGACCATTGATGCAATTAATATTTTTTTTGAAATGGAAAAGGCAAAAGCGATTGCTATAATGCCATGCTGTTATCATAAAATGATTGAAACTAATGGACATTTTAAAAACTTTCCGATAAGTAGTACATTGAAGAACGTCTACGAAAGATGGGAGGGAGATGTGAAAATGAATGTACCGTTTTTAAGATTAGCTGCCCAACCGCCACGCGTAGAAGAAAAATTACAAGATTTAGTATTTAATTTACTCTCAAGAGCAGTACTGCAAGTTTATGCTTCTAAACGTGAGTTAATAATATGGATAGTTGATTTGGTTTATTAAAGGGAATCTTTTGTAACCTAAATAGATAAGAGTAAATACCGAAATCCCAATGCACCGATAAGAAAAAATTACGTGCCTGTATGTCTAGTGGCTAGTGATCCTGACTCTGAGGCCAGACGTGAGTTCGATTCTCACCTAGGTCAAATAATTGTGTGATGATCACGATCATTTGTTCTGTTTGGGTGTATTTTATTTATAATATGTATGGATTCAGAAATATTTATGTAAATATGTTTACGTATATGTTTCTAAATACAACTTCAATATTACACTGTTATGGTTATATTGATATTTCTAAATGAAATTCTAGTGCTGCTTTGTGCCTCGTTTCCTAACAAGTTACTTTGTTCCAGATAATTACAAACTTAAGAGAAACAGACGAAAACCTGTCAAAACTAAAACTATGGACAATAATTTCGACCAGTATGTCCAAAATTCAATTGAGAGCGGCTTCACACTTACACCTACCGTACCTTTAAGCGAAGACCAGGAAAATCCAAGTTTCAACGTAGAAGATCTTAAATCAATGTGGGCTAATATATCATCTGTAACCTTTAAAAAAGCAGCCATTTATATTCTGTTACAAAATCATCTACAACCAGTGATGGAAAATTTTGTTTTATATGATAGATTAGTTTATTTAAAAGAAAATGGTGTAAATAATTGTAGCTTTAAGAAAATACTAAACGAAAAGATTTCACCACGATGTTTGGCATTAGTAGCTTATAAAAGTTAGTCTCTATTATTTGAACTATTCGCTTATAGATTTTGGTAAAGCTTTTGAGACGGACTCTTTTCACTACTGACAGCGATTTTTTTTTTTATACCATACTATACATTATTATCACATATAGACCAATACAATAATGCAAGACTTACAATAAAAACAAACAAATCTATGATAAAATTTGTAAAAACATCAAAGAGCTAGTCAGTACGCAATATATGGCCTTTATGAACGCATTAACTCATTTATGATTATGTTGTAATTATAAAAAGCTCTCCGTTAAAAATTACCTAATGAAATAATTAACTATAAGAGCATACATTGTGTTTCTATACTTGGCGCCATTTAGATTTAACGGATTACAACTTTGCAATGCTGCATTTACCATTATGCCATAAATTGTTAATTTAAAAAAAAAAAAAAAAAAAACTTATTCTGTTCTCTTAGTGTTTTGTCATCTTTTGTTGACCACCAAATTAATTACTATGCTGCTCTAGTAAAATGGTTTTTAAGGTAAGGTAAAATTAAAAGTGGGTATGCTTCAAGGCAGTATTCTAGGACCAAGCCATTTTTTCTTTGAGGAATGTCTAAGATAGGAATGTCTAAGAGGAATGTCTAAGATATTGTGACCATAGAATGTGCATTACAATTGTTCTGCCATCTACTTATAAAGGAATAGCCCCATGAATGAAACACATTTTTAATATTATATCATTCATAACAACAAACTTTTATTTCCCTTGTGGTTAGCAAATAACTAAATAAAAAATTAAATAAAAGGTACAGTAAGCGCCTGTTAAATGATTAACACTGTGGCAGGAAACACCAGACTCAACTAGAAGTCAATTATTATTGGTCTCTTTACTTTTGATTTCCATAACAATTGTAAATTCATCTGTCCTAGGTACTGGCTTTTCTTTATATAGTATTTTATTTTTCCATTCCAAAATTTTATCCATTTCTGGATAATTAACTTTGCCTGTAGTTTTACCTACAGGGCAAAGATCACCTGAAGTATATTTTCTCTTTGTTATATCCATGTTATGTCTGCGTCTCAAATGCTTGTTATAATTTGCCCAATTTGTGAAGTCTCTTCCACAGGTATCACATGTATATGGCCTGACTCCGGTGTGTTGACGAATATGTACATTTAAATAAGCTTTCAATCTAAATCTCTTATTACAGAATGTGCAGATGTGAGGGAGCGAGTCTGTGTGGATTATACTATGTGAAGTTAATTGTTTTTGTAGACGGAAACATTTTCCGCATTGTTTACAAGAAAAAGGTTTTTCACCATCATGAACACCAACATGATAACGTAACTGATGTTTATTTCTGAAGGATGATTTGCAAATTTCACAACGAAATGGTCTTTTGTCCTCATGTAGCATTATATGTGCATCTAAACCACTTTTCTGCCAGAAACATTTTCCGCAAACTTCACATGTATATTTGGGTTTTCTGTCAGTGTGTTTTAATAAATGTGTGTGCAAAGATGTTTTTGTTTTATACTCTTTTGTGCAAATCAAACATTGCAAAATGTCTTTTTGTGCCTGAAGTGGTATGTTACGTGACCGTGAGTTTTTGTAAAATAAATTAGAATGTTTTTGTAATTCCTCATTACTTGGCAGACTTGTATTACAACCAACACATTTATAATTAGATGTGATATGTGTAGCTCTATGTTTATTTACCTCGTGGGCTGATGGAAATGTTTTAAAACATATATAGCATGAGAGCTGTAGGTATTTTCTATGGGTACGGACGTGTGTTAAGAATCGATCAAGTCTTAACCTTTTAACATTACAATCAGTACAACAATATGCAGTACATGACTTGTGGTACTTCATAGAATGGCTTATAAGTTCTGTAACAGTTGCAAATTGAGTCTCGCAGTACGAACAGGTCCAGGTGTAGTCTTCCCAGGTTGATTTTCGTTGAGAGGGAGGTACGGAGTCTAAATCTGATAGTTTCTCTTCTTTCCCATTTTTCGTACTTCCTGTTTGATTTATTAAAGCTTTGTTCTTGGAAGTTCTATCTGTTTTTTTATTAATACCACCTACGTTACACAAATCTGATTTTATTTTCATATGAGCTTCATTAATGGACTCCGATCTTACATTAATATTATCTTCACATTTCTCTTCTAAAATTTCACAAACGAATGCTCCTTCGCAGTCAGAGTTATAGGAATCTTTTTTGATAGGTTGCGTTAAAATTACATCTCTTAACACAACTTGAGCTTGTTCCACGGCGACTACAAAGTCAGCTGCGTGTGTAAGTGAGTTAATACATACTAAACAAACAGTTTTAGGTAGAAAATTTTCACTAAAATCCAACTGACAGTTGAGTAGTTTCAGTTTGTTTACTGTGAAATTTCTTTTTTGCTGATCTATTTGTAAGTCTACGAGCTTGTCGTGAGGCTTACAGACAGCGCAGAGACGACAATAAGCATTTTCTGTGCTACCCATGTTGCAAAGAATAATATAGGTAATATTTTATAATCTTATCACAACCCGCACAAAACACAATACGGTGCGTAAACATACGGCCATTCGGCCCATACAAATACGTTTTTGTGTGGAAAATGTGGAAATGTCAAATGTCTAAAGTTGACGTTCATTTTTCGTTCGAATCTCATTCTTCTCTCTCACAGAGATATAAGTATAGAGTTAACACTGGATGCAGCTGCCTGAGATGGATGCCCGATACGTCCCTCTGTCTCTGTTTAGCTTAGCTGCAATTGGCTATCATGAAGTGGCAATGCTTTTGATCCTAAAACAGGCGGAAAGATTAAAAATTTCGCAAACAAATTGGGTGTAATAATAACAAATTTTATAGGCACGTATTGTCTTTCATTTATTTTCAAAAGCTATTCTAGTATTTGAGTCTGGTAGTCATTATCTCATGTTGCTGAGCTAGTGACGGAAGATACAAATCCTAACTAAATGGTTAGGAGTTGGAGGATAGTTCTTTAAATACCATATATGTGTGTTTAGACTTTTAGTTGTATTCTTTCAAGTCATTCAGGTAAGCTGATGATGGAAGGTAAAACTCTTTAACGGTTAGGAGTTATATTTTACTTTAAGATGCCGACATTGTAACCTGTAATGTACAGGAAAGAAAAGACATGTAAAGCTGAGGATTGGATTAGCAACCTGCACTACATACCTTCGTAGTGTTCTAATTTAAATATTTAATATTAGTCTAATCGTTGCTTTGTTTGGATTAGTAAGGGTCTAAGTCACAAAGGGCAACACCATCATTATGCCATCTTTACGCAACTTAGCGCAACAAAAATATTAGCTTTGGGAATTTTAGGGTAGTGCCCTGGAGTTTGTGTACCGTAACCGCCCAACTGAGGATTAGCAGTAGCATTCTCCGTTCAAAAGCTACGAGGATGTTGAACGGGGTAAGTTGCCATAGCGCCTGTGTAAAAAACCATTGACACAGGTGCTTTTGATTTTATGGCAATAGAGTCGTCATCATCTATATAAATATATAATTTATATAAGTAAGTTTTTAAAAATGTTAAGTTATTTTGTGTACGCTTTAAAAACTTAAGAAGATGTGCACTGATTGAGTTCAAACTTTGACACGATATGCTATCTGACGTTATTTGACTGCATTAGCATATAATTTACAACAGTATTTTCTAAATAAGTAAAATATTAGGGGTTAAAGGAACACCAGGGACTTCCTTTCTAGGGTATACCTGGTTCCCTGGCTATTAGTACCCGAGACGGCGTGCGGTTTTAGTCGGTTCGAGTTCGACATGCCACCGATAGGTGGTATCCGAGGGGATTTCCGCACGGAAAAAAAAGGGGTTAAAGGATGACATTGCCGATTTGTATTGAAAAGTTGAAACTCGTTTTTTAATAAAGAACTTTTAAAACGCATTTAAGAACTCTGGGGATTTAGATTCGCCAAACTGTGTGAATGCCTTTTGTACTTGCCTCCTGGGAAGATTTTTTTTATTACGTAGAAAATTGTTCAAATCACGAAAAAAATTGTAGTCCGTTAGAGCAAAGTCTGGCGAGTACGAACGATGACGTATGGTTTCTAACTGCATCTCCTGTAGAGTTACAACGGGTTCTCGTGCAGTGTGAGGTCTTACGTTATCATGGAGCAATAATGATAAAAATCGATTCACGGGTAGGGGCTGTTTTACTGCCAGTTTCGCCATTATTGTTCGATTTGCCTGACCAGACCTGAGAAAGCTACAGTGAACAACATCATGAAGAGACCACGATACAGTTACCATTACCTTTTTATTGGTAAGCTTTGCTTGAGGACACTTGTGCGGCGTTTGACTTGGGTCAGCCATTTTTCGCTTACGGTTATCGTAAACAATTTGATCCAATATTCCTACATTTCTGTGCCAATTCTACAAGGCTACACAAGTTTCAACACGCATTTCTTTCTGCAGATCAATCAAATCATGAGGTACCCATTTTTTTTTTTTTTATTGATTTGATGTAAATGAGAATAATGTAGATAGGGTAACGTAAAAGCATGCCACTAATTCCTGCGTAGTTTGACTAGTATCGGCTTCCTCGGATTCATCTCCTTCAATTTAGCGTTATTAACCTGTGTATGCGGTCTTCCACGTGGTTCGTTCTTCAAGTCGAAGAAAATGACTCGGATTCTCGAAGTATCTATCTTTCACGTCTGAGCTGAATAAAAGAAAACAATAAAATCAAACTTTGTTTTCAAAGAATAAAATCACTTCGTTGCGTCCATCAAAGTTTCGTTGTTGTTTGCATACTTGAAAGTTGATATCATAATTTCTTATTGTATGATTGCTAAAATAAGGTATAAACAGTCAAAATTACAGAAAAGAATGGGAAAAATCCGAGAAGTACAAACATTGCCACTCAGATATGTTTGCAAAACTGAATGATTTGAAGAAGCATTTAGAAACTAAAAAACATAAAGCTAAAAGTAAATTGATTTAAAAAAATAAGCAAATGACATTATTCATAGGACCAGGGAAGGTTTGTAAGCCTTCAGCATGACCTGAGTGTACCTTAGCTTTGAATATTGCCGAACAGCACGACATCAGCTATGTCTTGGTGATTAAATGCGAAGTTATTTAAGATTTGCCGATTAGCGACTTCCAGCGGATTTTAGGGGAACGGTTTTTTTTCTAATCTAGAGGAATTATAGAAACCAGCTAGCGACTTTTAGTTTTGTTCAAAGGCAACACTTAATTTCCATACAAGAACGTATTTGTTTGTATTGGCCGTATGCACTAGGAATGAAATAAAATCACAATCGCATGTGGAAAATGATATCATCACACCTGTGACTAATTTATAAAACCACTGCTACTTAATTATTACTATTACGCTAGCGCAAGACTCGCCAAAGGTATAAAATTAAATCAATACAAAAAGGTCGTAACGTTTGATAAATTTGATTTTAAGATTTAAATGCCATTTATCTTTGTCTATGACGTAATCACAATCACATGTGAAATTGATGTGACTAAAGCCAAACACGTCATCAAATGATTTGAAAGTAGCAATAATTCCCATGACTAGTCACTAGTCTAGTACACTATACTAATCAGTGATTCTGTGGTCTAGTATGAGCCGTATTGTGTTAATTTTTGACTTGTGTTGTTGTGCGGGTTGTGATGAGATTATAAAATATTATATATATTATTTTCACTTTGCAACATGGGTAGCACAGAAAATGCTTATTGTCGTCTCTGCGCTGTCTGTAAGCCTCAAGACAAGCTCGTAGACTTACAAATAGATCAGGTAAAAAGAAATTTCATAGTAAACAAACTGAAACTACTCGACTGTCAGTTGGATTTTAGTGAAAATATTCTGCCCAAGACTGTTTGTTTACTATGTATTAACGCACTGACACACGCATCTGACTTTGTAGTCGCCGTGGAACAAGCTCAACGTGTATTAAAAGATGTAATTATAACGCAGCCTATAAAAAAAGAGTCCGATAATTCTGACTGTGACGAAACATTCGTTTATGAAATGTTAGAAGAGAAATACGAAGATAATATTACTGTAAAATCAGAGTCCGATAACGAAGCTAGTGCTGCCCAAAACAAAGCTTTAATAAACCATACGGGAACTACGAAAAATGGGAAAACAAAGAAAGTATCAGATTTAGACTCCATACCACTCTCGCAACTAAAACTGACCTGGGAGGACTACTTCTGGACCTGTTCGTACTGCGAGACTCAATTCGCTACTGTTACAGACCTTATTAGCCATTCTATGAAGTACCATAAGTCTTGTAATGCATATTGTTGTAACGATTGTAATGTTAAAAAGTTAAGGTTGGATCGTTTCTTAACACATGTCCGTACCCATAGAAAATACCTACAGTTCTCATGCTATAAATGTTTTAAAACATTTCCATCAGCCCACGAGGCAAGGAAACATAGAGCTACACATATTACATCTAATTATAAATGTGTTGGTTGTAATACAAGTCTTCCAAATAATGAGGAATTACAAAAACATTCCGACTTATTTTACAAAAACTCACGGTCACGTAACATACCACTTCAGGCTCAAAAAGACATTTTGCAATGTTTGATTTGCACAAAGGAGTATAAAACAAAAACATCTTTGCACACACATTTATTGACACACACAGAGAGAAAGCGTAATTACACATGCGAAATATGTGGCAAATGTTTCTTGCAGAAATGTGGTTTAGATGGGCATATGATGCTACATGGGGATAAAAGACCCTTTCATTGTGAAATTTGCAAATCATCATTCAGAACCAAAAATCAGTTACGTAATCATGTTGGTGTGCATGATGGTGATAAACCTTTTTCTTGTAAACAATGCAATAAAAGTTTCCGTCTACAAAAACAATTAAATTCTCATAGTATAATCCACACAGACTTGCTTCCTCATATTTGTACATACTGTGATAAGAGATTTAGATTTAAAACAATTTTGAATCAACATATTCGTCAACACACCGGTGTAAGACCATATACATGTGATATCTGTGGAAGGGATTTCACAAATTGGCCAAATTATAACAAGCACATGAAACGCAGACATAGTATGGATATGGCAAAGAGAAAATATACACCAGGTGACCTTTGCCCTTTAGATGAAACTACAGGTAAAGTTAAAAATTCTGAAATGGATAAAATTTTGGAATGGAAAAACAAAATATTAGTTAATACGAAACCAGGTAGACCTAAAACGGATAAAGTTAGTGTTGTGATAGAAATCAAAAACTAAAGAGACTACATAATTAGAAATATTTACAATTAGACTGAAGTCTCTTGCTGTTCCAAATTATAGAGAATGTACAGAATGTTTATAAAAGATCAATGGTTTTACTCACTTGTGTATTTTGAGGATGCTTTTTTTCTGACCCGACTTTAAAACTGAGGAGGTTCTCATTTTGACAGATTTTTTTATGTTTGTTATGTAAGTTCTCCGTCAATTTTGAGTTGGTGGTGGTCCAAATGTCACCAAGTCAGTATCTTATGAGGGGATACATGAGAAAAACCCTCAAGTTTTATAGCCCCATACAATATGTTTCATCTTTTTTCTCAAGCCATACATGAATTTATGTTTGATACTCATAATCTCATGTTGCCAAGCTGATGATGGAGAGGTGCTTGACTTTTAGGAGTTAGATGATAACTCTTTCAAAAATATAATTACGTATTGACTGTTACTTGTATTCTTTCAAGATATTTCTTATGCATTTGTGTCAGGTTACAGAGATATGTGTACAAGAAAACAAAAGAATTGTGATTACAAAACGTTTTCCTAAATTAACAAAAAGAATTGGTGTTTGTTAAGCTATAACTTTTGTTACCTAAGAACTCTTTTATTTCTGAACTTTGAAGGGAAATATGTCCCCCCCTATTGGTGCTATTCAAATTTGAAGAAAAAATACCTCCCTTAATGGTAAGGTATCACAATTAATAATGATGTAGTGCCTTGAAGTCGGTATATTTATAATAATAATAAATAAATCATTTATTTAGCAAGAAATAATTGCACTATTGACAATATTATCAATCTAGGACTTTCTTATGCCTCAACGGCGCAGTGGTAGCGTATGCGACTGCTGTTTTGAGGTCTTGGGTCCGATTCCCCGGATGGATCAAATCTTTGTATGCTCTGCAAATTTTGTTTCGGAGTTTGGGTGTTTTCTATGTATAATATGTATGTATTTACTTAAAAAAGTATATAAGTATTCGATCAGTCTATCTAGCTTTCAAACTAAGCAGAGCTTGTACTAAGCTCTGCTTAGTTTGAAACTAGATGGCGTTCTGTGTTAGTTATCTGAAATATTATTATTTAACAGAAATGCTTCATAAAAGTCTCCCGTGGGGTCCAGAATTAAACATCTAACGAATACTACGAAAACACTAGCGAGTAAAACCGATTATTTCGCGAGTATTCTAAAATATAGAATATTTAAATTAATAGATTATTTTTCTACATATGAATGAGAATTTATAAAAAATTAGTGTAGTCATTTTTGTGGAATCTTAATTTGAAGCAATGATAGGTGTGCGAGTTGAATCCAGAGTTCAGGAATATGAGAGAAAAGGGGCAGCATTTGACGACCGAATGGCGTAGTGGTTTGTGTAACGGACTGCTATTCCAAAGGTCGCGGGTTCGATTCCCGCTCCAGAAGTTACGAAAGCTCCGCTTGTGTGCATGAACATTAAATGTTTGATTTGGTCTGGGTGTTTCTATGTATAATAAGTATGTATTTACAAAAAAAAGTATATATATATTTATATCAGTTGTCTAGTAGTCATAGTACAAGCTCTGCTAAGTTTGGGACTAGATGGCGTTGTGTGAATGTGGTACAATATTATTTATTTATTACACCGCAGGCTTGAAAGGTGAGGTTTCTGGGCAGCAGGGGTTTTTTGGACAAATACTGCTGCCCCTCAAGCTCATTCAACTTGTGCGCTTACTGTACAATTATTGGTGGTGTTATATTTAATCTTAATTACATAGATTTTTTGTTTATATCTTCTAAATTTTGTTTTCTTAAGTAAATTGTCTATTTTTTGTTCGGACTCCTTGTGCCATTTAATATGTTATTTGGTCAGAAGTTGCGTGATAAACAAGGAGATTCATTGAAGTTTTTTTAGTTTATAATGAGATGTTTATTTAGTTATTTGCTAACTACAAGTGATATAAAAGTTTGTTGTGATAATATAAAATGTTATAAAAAAGTGTTTCATTTACGGTATTATTCCTTTATAAGTGAATTTTATAAGATAACTTGGCGGAATACAAAATGTGGGTACTCACAATATCTTAAAGATATTTCTTATATTAAAAGTTATCTGGTCCTAGAATACTACCCTGAAGCACGCCCGCTTCCTGAAATTCTCATTTTTGGCATCATAATAATAAATGTGCACTAAATGTGGTAGGCACAAAAATATTTACGGAGCGTGAGTGCGTGGAACTCCGCCGTGTCCTTCTGTATCTTCTTTCGGGAGCACAAAGGGGACATAGGGGTTCCCATACAGGAGGAGGTCATCTACACGTTGTAGATGGCCCGAGGTACGTCGGGGTTCCAGGGAGCTCCTTTCTAGGGTACACTCAGTGCGGCATGAGGCCCTAGAATGCGCGCCTCCGCCCCCGTTTCGCCAGCGGCAAACTGGGTCCGAGAAGAAATCTTCCTCCCAGACCCTCTCCGCCGCTTCCTTCCAGGCGATGACATCTTCGCAGAAGGCGACAGCGATGAAACATCAAACAACAGTCGGAAGGAAAGGGGGTGCCTTTCCTTCGACTCTCCTCCTTTCCGTGCTGACACCCACACGATGACAAGCTGGAGCGCCTCCACGGCGGCAAAGCCAGCTTCTGAAGACTCCGGCTGGGACAACCGAGCGAACCATCGTGGGTCGGCAAGTGGCCTCACGCCACTTGCAAACTACTTGCAGCGGGGCCGACTGCCGATACCCGCATAGAACTTAGCCACCCGCAGATTACTTCGACGAGCACTTTTACTTCTAAATCCCACGGGGATATTCCGGCCAACGCTCACGCCGCCTCCGTAGACACGGTGTGACCACGACGGGGCCCATAAAATAAGACGTTCTTCGTCTTATACAGGGCAACCTGTAAGTCTCACCGTGGGAGAGCCATGCTTCGGTACGAATGGGCCGGCTCGACCGGAGTGATACCACGGCCTCACATAAAACCGGTGTTAAGCAATTGTTTCGTTGCCTTTCACTGAGTGAGTGAGGTTACCGGAGCCCAAGTCCCCTCTCCCGCTGACTCGAGCGGGAGGGACTCCAAGGGCGGCAACGCACTTGTAACTTTTGGGTTGCAGGTGTCCATGGGCGGCGGTAGTTGCTTACCATCAGGTGACCCGTTTCCTCGTTTGTTATGTATGGCATAAAAAAAAAGTTCATCGCCTGAATGGTGTGCACTTAGTGTTGTGGGTTCGATCCCCACATGGGACAACACTGTGTGATTCACAAATTGTTGTTCTGAGTCTGGGTGTTCTTTGCGCCCATTTCATATGTGTTTGTAAAGTCCACCGCGACACAGGATATATTCCTAGTTAGGAAGTTCTCATTTAAATTTTTTTAAAATGCCCCATACCACCAGAGATATCCTTGGTGGCCAGGCGCGCCGCCTCTAGAAAATTCGCCCCTCGGGCTGTGTTCAATACGAATAATGTGCATTAGTTTTGTTTAAGTCCGATAGATGGCGCGATAATATACTTGCTTGGACTGACTCTTGAGTTTCTTGCTTGGTTGAGAGGTCATCCCAGTCGGTGGAACACGTTTGTCGGTAATAGGGTTTCTGAAATGCTTACCGCGATGGAAAGTACCCAGTGGTCACATGTTCGATCTAAAGACAATCCAGCAGATATCGCGTCGAGACGAGCAATATACGTTTTGGAGCGAAAATGCCATAGACTGACACATGTATACATATTGTGAATTTAACGTACATATTACACCCCTCACCCCTTTTTTTTTTCCGTGCGGCAATCCCCTCGGATACCGGTGGCATGTCGTACTCGAACCGACTAAAACCGCACGCCGTTTCGGGTAGTAATAGCCGGGGAACCAGGTATACCCTAGAAAGGAAATCCCTGGTGCCCTGACATACCTCGGGCCATCTACAGACGAGTAGACGACCCCCCCTGTGTGGGAACCCCATGTTCCCTCTGCTCCCTGGAAGCGAGCGCGCTTCGCAACGCGTTTGCCGCCAACACCCCTCACCCCTAAAAATAAACTAAGAACACGATTATATGAAATTAAATATTGTTTACTCCTAGTAATGTTTAATAAAAACATACACACACAGGTTAACTGCATTTTAATAGTATCGTGCTTTACATATCGATTCCCTTAATAAAAATATAATCTTGCCTCCTCATATGATTAGTGTATATGTGCAAAATAAACGTTACAGTTATTTATTAACTAATACATAAATAAACCACACTATAATATTATCACTTGTTTTTTCTGGAAGTTCCTTTCTTTGTACCGATTTTGACAATGTGACAATATCAAACGAGACTTCAATCAATTGCAGTTCAGAAAACAATAATAGCTCCATGAATAAACGTGTATTTCCGTGGTGTAACCAGTTGAACCATGGGTAAACATACTGATAAATTCACTACCCGTAGTCCAAGCGATTGGATCATGGATAGTTTTACTTACCCATGGTACAATCAGTTGGACATAGCGGTTGGATCAAAGGGGCGACAGCGCAAAAATTTGCTTTTTTGGTGATTTACAGCGCTGTAAGCAGCGATCAAAACTATAGGTATAAAAAAAGGTATTGTACATTGCAATTATTACCGTGATAAGTCCCAATTTACACATCTAACATAGACAAGGCGAGAATGTTAGTTAGCGATGTATACATAGCGATTTTGTTCAAACAGAGGTACATATTGAGTGAAACATTTTTTTTATAACAGAGGTTCTCATCTTAGTACGTCCACCCATTATGGTGAAACTCAAAAAAAAAAAATTGTAACAAATCAAATCAATTATCAATTTATCAATTTAAAAAGACAACTCCCGCATTAGGAATAAATCCTGTGTCGCGGGGGACTATACAAACATACATGAAACGGACACAAAGAACACCCAGACTCAGAACAACAATTCGTGGATCACACAAAGTGTCGTCCCATGTGGGGTTTGAACCCACAACACTCGGCGTAGTAGGAAGCGGCGTGGTGACCGCTTAAACCACTACGCCATCCGTGCAGTCGAAATAAAAAAAAAACACGGATTTCTTTTACCTCAAATCCATTTTTAACTTAACAAAAAAAATAACACGACAATCAAATTTTTCACATACGTATTTGGGCTGGCAGCTGATGGATGAGGACCTAAGACCGCGATGGTTGGCGCTCTTTGGGGGAAGCCGTAGTTCAGCGGTGGACGGCAACAGGCTGAAGTATCTGGGGACACAATAGTGTCACACAGAAATGTCCCATCCTTATGTCATAGCCATTTAGGACTGGAACCCCGTTTGTACCTTCATTGTGGATAAGGCTAAAGATCTGTATTGTCATTGACCAATAGGCAATCGTCATCATCATCAGCCTATCGCAGTCCACTGCTGGACATAGGTTTCTCCCATTGTACGCCACTTTTAGTTCGATTTTGGGCTTAGAATAGGCAATAATATTAACCGCATATAGTGTTTGTGGATCTCGAAAAGGCATATGATAGGGTACCCCGAGAGGTTTTGTGGTGGGCTTTGAAAGAAGAAAGAGTGCCTGTAAAGTATGTAGAATTGATTCGTGCCATGTACAGAGAGTCTAGCAGTCATGTAAGGTCGGTCACGGGAAACACTGATCAATTCAGTGTCTCTGTAGGCTTGCACCAGGGATCAGCTCTGAGCCCATACCTCTTCCCGTTGATAATGGATGCTCTGACATCGGACATACAGGAGGAGGCACCTTGGTGCATGCTATTTGCAGATGACATTGTGTTGGTCGGTGAAGATGGGGTTGAGGTCTAGAGCAGACTGGAAAAATGGCAGCAAAGGCTGGAGAATGTTGGCTTGAAAATCAGCAGAACCAAAACTGAGTACATGTTCTGCGATTTCGGCGGTCTCTCCAGTCCTGAAACCATTTCGCTGGATGGGATAACGATAACAGTCTGCTCCAATTTCAAGTACCTCGGCTCCCTCTTACAATGTGATGGTGAGATTGATCGAACTGTACAGCATCGAATCAATACGGGATGGATGAAGTGGCGGCAGGTAACGGGAACAACTTGTGACCCCAGTTTCCCCTTAACACTGAAGGGACAAATTTATAAAACTATTATCAGACCTGCCGTCCTGTATGGCTCTGAAAGTTGGCCCATTAAGAGAACGGATGAGAGACGCCTGAACGTAGCCGAAATGCGAATGCTGAGATGGATGTGTGGTGTGACTCAGATGGACAAGGTTAGGAATGAGTATATACGAGGGAGTCTGAAAGTAGCGCCACTGGATGAAAAGTTAAGAAGTAATAGGTTATCTTGGTATGGACATGTCATGCGGAGGGATGAGGAAAATGTGGGGAAGAAAGTTTTAGGTATGAGAGTTGAAGGGTACAAGAGAAGAGGCAGACCGAAGAAGAGGTGAATGGACTGCGTCAGGGAGGATATGGCTAGGAAGGGAGTAAACAGTGAGATGACGCATGACAGAGTAGAATGGAAAAATCATACATACTGCGCCGACCCCAAATAAAATTGGGAAAAGGGTAGGCAGATAATGAATAGGCAATAATATTTCTAAATTACATTTGATTTGAACCTATACTCTAAAATTGTTGGAATATTGTTTGACTCAGTCACTCATACACTAGGTATATAAGACTGACAAAATTTTAAAGACAGTTTAGTCTTGATAACTCAAGTAGAAAAAAATTGATAATGTTGTGTCGGGACATAAAAACGGCAGAAGTAACTTTGTGATTCTGTATGACTAAGCGTTTAACACGTCTCTGCCTACCTCTACAGGGACGTAAGCGTGAGTTTATGTATGTTTGTTTTTTTTATCGTATAAGGGGGCAAACGAGCAGACGGGTCACCGGATGGTAAGCAACGACCGCCGCCCATGGACACTTGCAACTCAAAAGTCACAAGTGCGTTGCCGCCCTTGGAGTCCCTCCCGCTCGAGTCTTACGTAGTCAGTTTAAACAATGCTTTAATGCTGCCTGTTTTAATACTTTATGGAATAAAGTATTAAAACAGGCAGATTGGTAATTAATAGGTATGTACAACAACTAACAGACAAAGGATGTTTACCCTAATATAAAAAAAGTTGAAAAATATTGTGTTATGAGATCTATGAAAATGTCTGAATGTGAAAATCTATAAGATCCCGCCAAGTTTCGCCAAGGGCAGATTCATGGAGGGGAGGGGGGGGGAGCTCGCCAGGTACTTCCACATCATTTATTAGGTGTAGTGCGTACAAGTTCAAGTAAGTAATCAAATTGGAGCTGGTTTTGAGTCCTGTCTACACAAAACAGATCGCCTTCAATTAAGAACTGGCTTCGCTCCTTCTCATGGAATGGAATACTTATTCACTTAGTTGTAGCCCGGAGGGACTTGCTAAACTAAAATTTACAATACTGTGACCTGGTTGCTGAAACTTATTTAACTGAGATGCTAGCGTAGTCAATAGACCATCGTCCACTTAGTAACTCCGGAAGACTTTAGTTTATAAATATACTAGAGATCCTGGTGGTCGAATTTCAACCGCGTTGAATGTCTTGTTCTAATTCAAAGACCATTTTAATTGGAACTGTCACTGTTTAGCCTTACACCATGACCTCTATACATTTATATGGTCATTTTTACACAATTTTTTACACTCCTACATTGAAGGTCATTAGACCCACCCGACACTCGACCAGCACCACATCGTCGCTCTCTGTAAACTCGTTGTCGGGTGGTCCTGTGAACGTCAGGTTGTCAACGAGTCGACGTTGCGTTGTTCAAGAGTGAATGTCCCGTGGTCAACGAGATGGACATTGCGTAGTCCACGAACAGATGAATAGTTGGTCAGGGAACGTCATCGTCATTCTCCAATTCATCGACCTCGTGAACCACTCGATGACAGCGCGGAATCCAGGACCTGCGCGGAGGCTACGCAAGACAAGAGCCAGGTGGTCACCGATTTGTCCATTCGCCGTCCACAGGTGGTCAACTCACGAGCGAGGCGCTCCCGAGTTGAGGTAGTGAGCGTATACCCATAGACCAGCACCGCTCGAGGCGAGGCGGTGCTGGTCGTGTCGGGTGGCTCTAATAAGCTATGGCCTTTAAACATAAATTATTCTAAATTCCATAGTTCACAAATAATTCAATCAACGCATTATTATAACTGTATATTACATAAATCCTATCCCTATTAAATTATTGCTTATATTTTATTTTCTCTCTTATACTTTTCTATACAGGGAATATACATTCAAGTCACAAACAACGAAGAAATATATACTTATTGAATAAATTTGTGTCCATCTTTGTGTCTGTTGGTCTGAAAAAACTGTTTTGTAACATAGACCAAAACGAGTCCCGTAATATGCAGATCAAGATGGGAACTGTTTTGTAAATCACAGTTTTGAGTGACAATTATATTAAATATTTAAAGTAAAGTTAGCTTTGTAACAAAATGCTCTAAGATTGTCTATACTCGTTACGATTATCTCGTGTAAGGCAGAACAAGGCAAAAATAGTCATTTAGAAATCTGTTTATACAATCAGCGACCCCAAAAAGGTCCACATAAAGTCCTGTAAAAACAGCTCTAGCTAACTACCCTCTTGTTTAATCACTTTCTTCTTCCCTCTCTTGCCAGGTACCATTATCTTAGTCTTCCACTCTTCTGTACCCACAGGATCGTCCACTTGTATGATCTGACCTGTCTCTGGGTTAACAGGGAACACACCTTCTGGGGTGATCTTCTTCTTAGATGTGTCTGTTCCGTGTCTTCTTTTCATATGCTTATTATAATTTGACCAGTTTGTAAATTCCATTCCACAGTTTTGGCAAGAATATGGTTTGGCACCCGTATGTTGTCTTTCATGATTCTTCAAAATCTGTTTGAATCTAAAAGCTTTATTGCAGTACGAACAAACGTAAGGCATTGCATCAGTGTGAATAATTTTATGAGCGTTCAACTGATATTGAAGTCTAAAACACCGACCGCATTGCTCACAAGAAAACGGTTTAATCCCAGAATGCATTTCAACATGTCTCCTCAACATGTTTGGATATAAAAATGACTTGTTACATATTCTGCAGACATGCGGACGATTCTTATCATGGGATAATATATGAGAGGTTAGTGTACCTTTATTATAAAACATTTTGCCACAACGGTCACATGTGTAGTTTCTTTTACGGTCCATAGTGTGGAGTTTCATATGATCTCGGAGACTGTTTGGGTTTTTGTAGACTTTTTTGCACAGTCCGCATGTTAGGTCTTCAATAGTGATGGGTGTGCCAGGTTTTCTTCGCGGTCTGCGCTTCTGTTTGACTATAGTAAAATCTTGTAAATGAACTTTCAAGGATTCCTCACTTTTAAGTATTTCTCCGCAGAGCGGACATGCTATTTGTGACTTTGAGAAGTGGGTTCTAATGTGTGCAGGTAGGTTTTCTGGTTTATCGACTGTAACATCGCAATAGTAGCATTGGTGTCTGAAATAACAAAGTAATTTAAACTACAGGTTTAAAGTGAATAAACTTTATCACAGAATGTATTTATCTATATGAAAACAAATAAATATAAGAATACTGAAAAAGAGTTTTTTTTTTAAGATAATGAATATGTGGTGTTACTACTGTTTGAACTCTTGATAACCCCAAAGTCATGACCCATGCCTGACCGGGAATAATAAGACCATTTTTAATAGATAAAAGAGGTAGAAATTAAGAAGTAAAATGTTGATCTACACTATCTCCTCTCATACCACTTTAAACTCTACTGCCGCTGCCTCTGGTGAGTATCTTTTTAACGAAATGCCTAGATATAATTTAGTTTGTTTAATAGTCAAGTGCTGTCCGTGTGGCGTCCGATTAAGAATGTGGAGTGACACCACCCCTATTCATCCCGTGGGTGTCGTAAGAGCCGACTAAGGGAGTAAACTAGGCAGGACAACAGCACTGCAAAGAGAAGGAAAAGTTGATACAAACCCTATTCCAACCCGTCTGTCAAGTGTGGTATAGTAGGCCAAAACCTCCTTTCTGAGAAGGGGCAGTGGAATACTAAAGGCTGCTGATGTGAATAGTCAGCTGCCTGGCTACTTTCATTTTGGTGTTGACAAATAGATGGTCAAAGGAAAATGTTTAAAGTGTTCCTAAGAATTTTAAATGATGTTTTCAATTATTCAATCAATTTATTTATTTAAATAAATAAATAAATAAAATTATTTGAGTAGAAGTAGCTAGTTGTATCATGTATCACAAATTTAAAACGTGTACAAGCAAAAATATACATTTCTCAAGGCCCTAGGTAACTTGGGTGCTAGTTTGCCCCCTACATTTAAAAAAAATTACAGTGGCCAGTTACCAGAAAAGACTTCAGAGAGAATATATCTACAACAAACGATGGCCTCCAAAAAATTTACAGAAAGCATAAATGTACTCTGCTATTACAATATAATTCCATCATCATAATCAGCCTATCGCAGTCCACTGCTGGACATAGGCCTCTCTAATCGCACGCCAGTCAGTTCGATTTTCAGTTAATTATAATTCTATACTAATTTTTATATATTTCAAACTTAATGCATCTTTGTACATTGGCAACTTAATGCCCAGGGCATTCTCTTCCAGTCACATTTTGGGTGGTGTCTTATAAGGTAGATGCACAGAGGGTACAGCAATATTAAACAAGCAAAAAGAACTTTGTTACATTTTCACAAGTAAACCACAGAACTTGAATGTTTTGAGTTTTAATGAATTGCACAGGATATGGTATACTGTTTTGTGGTGAAAATCAATCTTGGTGGTAGCGACTGGATTGTTATTGTTGTGACTGCTGAATTGGAAGTTGTGGGTTCAATTCTTAACCAGAACAAATAATTGTGTGATGAGCGTGATCATTTAAGCTATACAAACAAATAAAATTGAAGTGTCTGTTTGTAATGTCAAATAATAGGTTTATTCATGCTCATATGGGTTTATGAACAATACCTATGCCTAAAAACCAGTTGAAATATTTTTTTTGAGTGTCTGTCTGTTTTTTCTGAGTAATCTTTTAAATGACTATACTGATGTACCGATTTTAATAATATTTTACTACCAGGTAACTGTCTATATAAGAAGTAACTTAGACGATTTTTCCTCTCAGAAAAAGCCCAGTCTGGGAATCAAATTTGAGGTTACATGACATGACTGCATTCACGTGCAGTACTACATCACTAAGGCAGCGTTTTAAATTCCACGCGAACGGAGTAGAGGGTACCAAATAGTCATCCATATAATACATACCTTAAAGATTTCTGATGTTTCCGGACATGTTTAATGAAATTGGCAAAATCTTCATTCCTCCCAACTTTGCAATCTATGCACAGAAATGCTGAACATTTACCGTGGACAACTTTACAATGGGATCTTAACATATCAATGTTTAAGAACTCAATATTACAAAAGGCACACATCCATGGATAATCTTTCCAATTTTTAATAACTTTCTTACTTAAATTTGATATTTCTTTAGCATATATCGTGACGTTAGGCGTGAAGGGTGCCGTGCACATCGCAGCATCAAGTATATCCTGAACATTTAATGTGTCGTCATAATTTGTTTGTTCTTCCAAATCTGGCTCCTCTTTAAGTTCGCGCTTCACCTCAACTTTGTCGTCTCCCTCGGCTTCCTCAACTCTGTCAGACTTTTCTTCCAATTTGATGGCCGGAGACGCATCATTGCAAAGAAAATCATCGAAAACAGTCATTCTGTCATCGTCTGAGAGATCACATTTACTTTCGTCAACGGCGGAGAATAGGCTTGTTAGAACGTCCTGCGCTTTCTTCACGTTGTCGAGAAATTCGTAGGCTTTATTCAGGTTGTCGTAGCAAATCAGGCAAACTGTTTTCGGTAGCATATCGCTAGTTGATACGTTGACATAAACAGCATTAACAAACGCGAGTTTTAATAGGATTTCATCGTATTTTTTCTCGTCGTTCTGTAGGTTCAATAATTTGTCAGAGCTCTTGGGCTCGGCGCAAAAGCGGCAATATAAGTTTTCCATGTTTCAAATGGTAATTATTACATTACTTCATTATCAATATCCGTTTTTGTAATATAAATACACGAAAAAGTATCCGTCAAACTTCTTTATACTTTTGTCAAAAAAGACAAACAAGAACAGAGTAAAAAAATGAGATGGTAGTGATGTATACTATCGATGATTTTTGGATTTGGTTTAGTAGAGTTATCATTTCATGTGTAGAAAAGTTAACTAATATTTAAATCTTGTCTCATCTCTTAATTTAATCTTTGGAATGTGTATTTACATTATATTACAATAACATATAAGTATATAGGCTGATGATGATGATGATTTGGTCCCAAAACAAGGAAATACTAAAACTTCAAATTAGAGAGTTTTGAACTGCAGTGCTCGATGTTAGGGCAACTTGAAATAATACTCTACATTAAGATAAATATTAATCTAAATTTATTTACAATAATTAATGAACTAAATTATTGAGAGAGAGTTATATATTATTTTCATGGTTTGAGTAATGGTGTTAATTTTATCAGATGAAAGTTGAGTCGGTTGCAACATCAAATACCAAACATTTCTCCACGCCATCTACCGAAGAATGATTGAACTACTGTAAGCTCAACTTTTCTTAAAAGCTTTTGTTCGCAGCTTCGTTCGACTCGAACTCACTCGACTTCGAATTGGTTTGGTATATTTCAGAATAAAAGACACCCTTCGTCCTTTTGGTACTCTTGACGATGAGCCGACGTATAATTAAATATGTAAAATTTCACTATAATTTCGCCAAGGGCTAGTGTGCTTTTTGAATTTTTAGTATCCTAACTTTGTAAACTCTCTTTGTTGGTACCCTAGGATAAATTTATATTGGCTTAAATAATAATTAGATACTGTGTACTAGACTGCGAAAATAGTCAATGCGTTTTACAGACAATATATAAACATGTAATAACTTTCAGACAATAAAAGTATTATAATATTTTAACTCAGCACTCTTCACTCCGTCTACAACAGCTATGTTCATATCGTAGTTTTTCGTACGCTAGCGACCTGTATTTTCATTATACAGATGCCATATTGATATATATTTATTAGGTCCATGACAAAAAATATCCTTGTTCTTTGGGATTAGATTAAAATAAAAGAAAACAAATTTGTAAATGGATACCTGCTACTCAGAAGTCACATTTGCGTTGCCGGCCTTTAGTCCCACGCCAGAATTAGATGGGAGAAGGGTTAACTCCCGGTTGAAAAGTGGCGACTGAATTGCTGGTTTACTCTGAGGCCCATCTCTATTATAGACGGGTCTATTATATAGACGGTCTCTATTATAGTCGGCTCATTTGTGCAATTGAAGCATGTAGCGTGTTAAGGTAAAAATAAAACAACAAACACATTTAATGTACTGTTTATTTTCTAATTGCAACAATTATATTTCACATTAAAACATTTAGAAATAAACATAGACAGATTTTTTACGTTTTCGAAGTGGTTAGACTAGACATAGTTACAAACAATATAATTTTTATAATATTAACTCTACGTACCTGTGGGTAGAATTTTAATTGAAACAATATTTCTACCATATCTCTCTACACCTTCCAATATAAATGTTCACATTACATTGACCTCTATTTTATGTGAACTAGAGGTGACTGCCAAAGCAGAAGCTTTAAATAGTAGTAATAATATCATGAGAAAAATAGTAGAATGGTAAATTTATAGTAATAGGCATACACAGTCAACATCAATACCTAATTCGAGTTATTTCTTCCGTTGAGACATACATGCAACATTCAAGTTTGCCGAACGGTACCAGTTTAACGTAGGTACTCGTATTAATGAAAACATTATTGTTCTAATTACTATTAGAACAATGATGTTTGCCATGGAAGACGTAAGAAAATAAAATGCTCATCATGGAATAGTCGATTAACTTAATATTGTAATCCCGAATATAAAAAAAACACAAAATTTTACAGAACACAAATATGTTTTTTTTTTAAGAAATCTGTTATAGATGAAAACATTTTAACGAACTTATAAACTGGAAATTTATATTATATGTACTTAATTAAGTAAGTAAGTATTAAGTAAGTATTATAAAATATGTACTTAATTAAGATTTTTATTTATCATTATTGATAAATAAAAATCTTAATTAAGTACATATTTTACAAACTAATATAATTGATAAACAGATTATATTATAAGTTACTTAACTATTTACACATACTTTTCACTACAGACCAAAATCTGCGATTCATTGGCTACCAAGTTATTTTTCATCTGATATACTACTGACTGCGTAGTCATAGTGACATACCTACATAGTCAGTCAGTACAATAACATACTGTTAAAACAACATTACACAAACGGCATTACTCCACAATAAACCTATAAACACTTTCAGAGACTTGAATGCATGAATTCAAAGGCATAGCTTCGACAATTTTTTCTTAAAAATCAAAGTCAGGAGTCATAATACATACGACTACAATTAACAAACTAGGAATAAAAAACGTTTCTAATAATAAAATTATTATCACAGAAAATAAAGTTGAACATTTTAACATTAACATTAACTTATTTATTTCTAGGGGTGATTAAACATATTGAAGATTGTCTATGGTTGAATTTTCACCATAATTCATTTTCGGTTTTTAGACAATAAGACTTGAACTTTTATTGTTTGGACTTACGTACTCTCACTAAAAATTGTAGCTTTTTGCTAGTTTAAATTCAAAGTAATTTATTTGCGTTAATTGGGTACATGATTACATATAGATCTTAATTTTTAGTTATTTAATTTCTACCTCAAGGCTACAATGTTTTCGCCTAAAAGAACTAATCGATGGAACTTGGATAGAGTTTTGACTTTAGACCGACAGTTAACACTCATTATCATGCTTATTCGTGGAGATTCTCTCTTCCAGAGAAGTTCCAGTCGAGATCTGAGCTTTTCTTCTGTTAATTGTTCAGATCCAGGTCCTATTATAACTAACTTACAAATATTTTGAAGATTATAAATATGATACGCACATATGATTTTTTAACGACATTGCTAACACACGTATGTTTTTAATTATGTACAATAAAAATAAAAGTTACTAACGGTACTAGAGGTAAACCTATTTAATTACTAATTTAAATTACTAATTATCAATCATTATCAACTAAAGACCCTATTATGATGGAATTAAAGTTAAAAATATAAGATTATAATATATTGCCTTTATTATTTTATATATGCGTGAGTGGTCATGGAGTGAGTGGCCAGGGAAATTACGGCAAACGTTCCGTTTTCTGTAATGATTTCATTAATTCATTCACAAAATATGTCGTGAATATTAATGTTGTTTAAGAGTATTATTAGTTTTGCCAACATTTACATATATTTTACCAAAGGATTTTTTTAAATATCTAAGAACGGTAAAAAGGTAATTTGTAAAGATAGTTTAAAGAAACAAACTTACTATTAATATAAAAATATACAGATTAATCAAAATGAATATATTCTGGCATACAAATATTGGCAAATGGTTTCTACCATTCTAGTCACTCACCTGTCCCTCCATATACGGACACTTTTATATTGTCATAGATATTTATTACATAAATGATTTTTCACCTGAGAATAATAGTCGTAAATTTATCAAACGACATGATAAGAGTATTCCGTAAATCCTTCAAATCTCTAAAGAGTTTTTATCATAAAAATCTTCTGAAACATATTTAACCTGAAGTTTAAAGAGTTTGTGCTGTAGGTAGCCAGGCCCGTCTTTAGCCTATTGGAGGCCCTGGGCACATTAGGATAATTTGGCAAAAACAAACTTGACTGAGCACTATTTTGTTAGAATAGACAGAATAGAAAGTACTATAGTCATTTATTGTAACTGGAAATCGAAATAAATATGTTTTTCGGTGATAAATATTGATTATCGATTGGTGATGTGGCAGGAATTAATGGGCCCCTATCGATCGAGGGGCCCTGGGCTCGTGCCCAGAGTGCCCAGCGGGAGAACAGGGCCTGTAGGCAGCACCACACACTAATAGTAATTTAGTTGGTAGTTGTAGTAGTCCTCTTTTGACATACAAATTGCAAGGAAAGTTAAATAAGAAAAGAAGACGGCTTTTGTTGGACAGCCCGAGCTCTCAAACCGAAAATCTGATTTTCTTATTTATTTACAATTAATACCAGTATCTAAATACTAATTATTATTTAATATTATTCCTTAATGATAATTATACAAATGTTTCTTATTGTCGTCACAACAGATTGTCGCAGTTATTGTAAATCTATATTACCTAGACATATTATGCTTATTTAGATAAGTATCTAACGTATTGACGTTGAATTAACCTACAAGTTATACCTTTTGTTGTTTATAATTATAAGTTTATTACTTAATTTATATGAAATCTACTACTATTCATAATGTTAAAAGGGGGTAAATCAGCAGGAATGTCCCTTGATGGTAAATAATTTACAGCTATCCATTAACATTCGCAACACAAGAGTAAAAGTGCGTTGCTGGGCTCTGAGAGGTAGAGAGATAGAGAGAATGGAATAGGGGGGGAGGATCTATGGGCTGCCGCTGCCTTCGGTAACCTGAAGGCATGGGACAAAATCACAGTGAACTGTGAATTATCATTCGATTCTTCCTACGTAGGTTTTTTAGGGTTTTACAAATATAGTTTGAATCCGTTATATCTTTCAGCCGAATTTGTTTTTATTTATTTATTTTATTTTACAACTTTTTGCACAAGTACATGCATCGGAGGACTTAATGCCTAAGGCATTCTCTGCCAGTCGACCGATTGGGCGATGCTAAGAAAGAATGAGGTAGGTGCATTCATGGGGGGTAATAAATGATAAGAATAATGAAGAGAGAATTTGGTGTATACATCTAAATACCACACACATACATACATAAACGTACATACACATACACACACATACACATATGATCGCATAGAAATACAAATTTATACTTGTAACAAAAATACGTTTTAACTCCAA